CCCTCGGCCGGCGCGTATGTAGAAAACCTATAGGTCCGGTCCGGCGAGGGTTAAACTGGCCTCTGATGGCCCAGACCGACCTCTAAAAGTCCCACACCGGCCTCTGATAGTCAATCAGCCCAGTTGCAGTGGTCGCTGATATAAAACCTCTTAAAAACGTTATAGGTCTGGCTGAGCCTAGCTGGGCCGTTCATGCTGATTTTATAGGTATATTGAAAAGACTCGCTTTGCACGTTTCACGCTTGCTCGTAATGAAAAAGTTGCTGGATGCCTCTGGAACTTGCATGGGTGCCAACGGCTGCGGAGGACAGGGGAACGCGTCCATCAGTTTGAGTTTATGGACGGGAGTCTCCCTGAAATTTTAACCAATTTTGTTTTGTTTTTGTCTCGATTTTTTTTTATCTCTGATCATGTTTGCGAAAACAAAGTGGCCGAAATCCGAGGAGAAATCGGATTTTGGGGGTAGGTTAGGTTTTGGACCTCTGGGACCTTGGCCCCCCCACTTTCGAAAACGTTCCTACGCCTATGTAAAAACCCTTGAAAACATTACCATGAAAATGTGCATTGAAATGTTTTAGTGGTGTAGTATTACACATATATCTCCTATGTAAAACCATCTTGGAACTATACTATATGTATATGTAGGTCCTTCTCGACGATCTTCTACTACACTGACTACTATGTATTTCCAGTCGCCCATAAAACAATTCGACAAATATATCCGTCTGGCAGTATTGGTCGCGACCCGTGCACAGAACGGTACCGCTCAGCCAGGAAGACGTCGCTGAATACCACTGGTTGTTCCAATATCCGGGAACAGGAGGGGAGAGGCCGTAAGTCACCCCCGTTCCCCCCCCCCCCCATGCCGTCCGAGCCGGTCTGTGGGCGCGTGCACCGAATGGCGACCGCCGATGACAGCGGCTCTATCTGATGATCCATCCTGGTCGGATGTATGACATGATCTGCATAAAATCAAGATCCCACTCTGTCTTCTACTTTGGATGATGTCTGGACTCGGGGGCATGCCAGCAGGGGCGATCATCAGTAAGCAGACCGAACGCCGACGTCTGACGAAAGTTCCTGATATCAGCCACTGTTTTGTTTATTCAAGAACACAGCACATACCACAGTGTTTCATCTCTATACGGTTCACCGAGTTGCTGACGTTGCAGTCACTTCATACCAACACCAGAACATTGAATATGTTTCTTCCCAAGGTCAGAAGGCCACCGACATTCGGCCGTTCGTGTCCAGTCTAGCAGAGCCGGCCCTTCCCCTTCCGTGGGTGACGTGCGGGCCATGTATCTCTATCTGTTCCAAGCACCCCATCTGCTCGTGTGGACTCCAGGCCGCACCCAGGCACCCCTCCAGCCTGTGACGGGCCTTAGAATCATAGGCCATCTGCCACCCTGTGCCCCGCAGTGGCTGACAACATACAACTGACATCAGACGACTTCATGATCTGAAGGGAGAGAGAGAGAGAGAGAGAGAGAGAGAGAGAGAGAGAGAGAGAGAGAGAGAGAGAGAGAGAGAGAGAGAGAGAGAGAGAGAGTGAGTGAGAGCGAGAAAGAGAGAGAAAGAGAGAGCGAGAAAGAGAGAGAGAGAGAGAGAGAGAGAGAGAGAGAGAGAGAGAGAGAGAGAGAGAGAGAGAGAGAGAGAGAGAGAGAGAGAGAGAGAGAGAGAGAGAGCAGGGTGGGGAGAGGGGACAGGATTACAACATTATAGAGTGCTAAGAGTGAAAAAGAAGGCAAAAGGAAAAAAAGCGGGGAAAAGGGAGGGAGGGAAAAGCCGATGGAGATTTTAATTAGTAAATTTACAGAGCTGTAAATGTACGAATTAAAATCCTCACTCACACTAACTTAAACTTTTTAATAACCGAGGTGTGTACTGTGTACTGTTACACAATACATACAACATCGTTTCATCCAATCATTTTGCGGCTCTCTGTTGCTCAAGAATCCATTTCAGATTTGAATCCGATAAGATCCGAAAATGGCACATCATTTTTATATTGGTAAAACAATGTTTTGTTACATAAACCGATAAGATCAGAAAATCGCGCAAGATTTTAACATAGGCAAAACGATGTTTTATTATACATGCTTGACAAGCCTTAACGGCATTTACGAGGCAGGAGTGAGCAGGACTAGAAAGAAAAAGACGGTATTGATACAAAAAGTTATGGTGTTAACATGTGTTCAGTGTCTATTGTTCATCTATTCTTTCACCTACAGTCAGCTCAGAGTTTTCCCAGAAAGCACTTACAAGAGATATAGAGCTATTAAGCGGTGTCTAGCAGTGTGCCAAATTTGCCATATCCATTCAAAATGTGAATAATTTTGGAACATTGGAAGAAATATGCACTCAAAATTGTTAGAAAAATCAAAACCACTAAATTGCATGGCAGCGGCTGCGAGCCACATACAGATATTCGGACAGTGAGCAGTGCAGTGCTCAAGAACGCGCAAATTTTAGCTAAGACCAAAGGGAATCAGGAAACTTGTGACTTGGCCGTGCTCAACCCTAACCAACACTACGTTGCATCAACACAAGACTTAGGCATGGATCATTGCATTTTGGTTCTCTCCCTGATCACTCCACTCGTGACACTCCTGTCTTTTTTCGTTGTTGATCGGGTTGTAAGGCACCAAATCCTTCAAGGTCGTTTAGTGTCCAAACTCACCTCATCACGACGGCACATGTTAGAGATGCCCTCACGACTGTCTAGTCAAATGATGTCAGTCAGATTGTTGTTCTCCGAATCTCGGACTGTCCCGGGAGTGATCCCCGTCACCCGCCGTCAACGTCGGCAGCGACCGACATCTAACGACAGGACGAACCCCCAGAACACCGTCGCCGCCACCCTCCACCCCTCAGGACACGATTCATTTGCAAATAGCGCCCTGCAGAGCAGCACCCGCCCCCCGGCACTGGCCGTCCGGCGTGTGTAGCCCCATGGTAGGACCGGGTGGCCTGTATAAAGCGGGCCGGCCGCAGCCGACCGGTTGCACTCTGCTCCGGGACTCGAGGCACTCAACATGGCGCTGACCCAGGTGAGAGCAGCGGCACTCAGGGATGCGTGGTCACATCAGTGTATAATTGTCATAGACGCATATGAACACGCTGCATCGTGGAAGGCAGTGGTAAAGACACGAGCGCAAGAGAATGGATGGGCGTAAATTGTGTTTCTTCTAGTTACTATAGTAGGATTTTAACCCTATCGGATCGCTCTTGGTGCGCAATTCAACACAGCAGGAGACGAGAAATAGGAATAAATGGAAGGCCAAAAAGTTAAATAAAAAGTAATGCAATATTTTCAGCTGGCTGATGCGGCTGGTGTCGGGAATGTGATCATGTAGAGACGAATGATAGTGCTGTTAAAACTGAAAAAGATCATGCAATCCGCCCAAATTTTACCATTAGGTATGCTTTAAATTCTAATCTCTGACCTTAATTCCCCTGACAAAAATGACCGGGCGTACCGAACTGACTCTCGATGAATTTGTTTGACAAAGGCTTGAGCAATGAGCGCATTGAAAGTCTCATTTTTTAAAGATTCTTTGCCGACAACAGCCAGTCAAGAGCGTAAAATCCTTAAGCATATTAGATTAGGAACTTGGAAGCACAGTGTGAGAGCTATAAGTTGCTTTTTGGTTTGTTCATTGAGGCTCCTGGGCACTCAAACTGCAGTGGTCACTTTGCGCTCAATGTTGCGTTTTAGAAGCGATTCGTGGCGAGGCAGGGTACACACTTACGCCATGCCGGCAAATTTGATTTATTGTCGGTATAAAAATAGTTACCTTATCTTATTACTGTTATGTATGTCATGGATCAAGAGATGACTTATCGCGGTGATCTGTTTTCTATAAAAGAAACACGGCACCTATAAAAGAGACACATTTATGAGAAGCATTGCGACAAAAGGTCAACTTCACATACATCAGATGTCCATTTTATTAACGTGCAACATGAGTTTAATTCTTGCATTGCACAAATGGTTTGAATGTTTTTAAGCGTTTCGGGGTCTCATTTTTTTTCTGAAAGTTGGTGTGTGATAACAATAGGTCAGCATCACGAACCATATCATTTTCTGACTACATTAACTATTCAATTGATTGCTGTAAGCCTGTAGATACCCCAAGCTAAGCATACCCAATCGTTGTGTTCGAACTTATCCGACGTCGGGGTTTATATGCTATCAGCCTGAGAAGATTACTTTTCTACCAGTGTTTCAAAGCCAGAAAACCAGCCGAAAGGGCAAGCAGTAAAGGAAATAGATGTAAAACGACAATAAGCACGTACAAGGAATAACAAATCAAAAAGCTAATAAGAGAGAGAGAGAGAGAGAGAGAGAGAGAGAGAGAGAGAGAGAGAGAGAGAGAGAGAGAGACCGAGACCGAGACCGAGACCGAGACCGAGACCGAGACCGAGACCGAGACCGAGACCGAGACCGAGAGAGAGAGAGAGAGAGAGAGAGAGAGAGAGAGAGAGAGAGAGAGAGAGAGAGAGAGAGAGAGAGAGAGAGAGAGAGAGAGAGAGAGAGAGAGAGAGAGAGAGAGCAATAGATTCACACCAAGTCAAATGAAAAATGCATTTACAAAAATCAGAAAAGAGCTTTTACCTATACACAGAAATACGACAGAAAACTTGCAACAACCACCGAGGGACGTACGAGTATACCGCATAATTGCCCATAAATGCAAAGCGAGTGTTGCTTCGACACTGGGCAATTGAAAAATTAGCCAATAGCAAAATTGCGTTCATCGACATTTAACCTCAGATCAACTTGGCATCTCCGCTGACGGCTTATATCGCACGTCCCTTTTCAAACAAATAATTGATGCGGTTAGAATGCGTTAACTCTGCATTATATAAATTTCTGAACACCATTATTGGCTAACACGTTGACTAAAGAGCACACTTTATAAAGCCCATTCATGATATTCAGCACGCGAGCAATCCGGCGGATAATCCTTGCCAAACCATAAAAGTCTCGCCAAATTGATCACGCTAAACGGGTGACAATGTAGACGCCGTTTGACGCAACACATGCAAAATCAATTGACAGTTGATATACAGTTCGCCAATCTTGCTGCAATTCAACTCAAGTGCTGTTCAAGAATGCAATCACTCAATACCAGCAAGCAGACAGCTATGAATGAGCTTTTCTTAACAGCAAGGCCAGGTATATAGCAACGCGATATTTGTCACTGATTGCACAAAATTAAGCCAAATGTTTACGCAAGAGCCGATAACCGCACTCGTAAAGAAAACTGGTAACAAATGTGTCAACCACTCCACACCATCCTTCGGTTGAATGATGATGTCATTTTGTGAGCGCTTTTTAGAATCAATGAGTTACGAACACGACAATTCGAAAACCATTTTTATCCGTTGATAATGCCTAAATATGGCGCAACGTAGCCACTACTATAATAGCCACCAGACATGTTACTCTAAAGGTCATCTCACTTATTGATCCATAAATTCATCACACCTGTTCCTTTTCAGATCTTTTTGGCGCTGGCGGTGTCGGCGGCGGCGGCGGCTCCGATGGGTCTTTCCAACACCTACCTGCCCCCTCCGCCTTCCCCTCCACCTGAGACCTACCTGCCACCCACCACCCCCTCCCCTCCGCCTGAGACCTACCTGCCACCCACCACCCCCTCCCCGGAGTACCTGCCGCCCCCTCCGAGCAACGAGTACCTGCCGCCACCTGAGAAGGAGTACCTGCCACCACCAGCGGACGACCTGGGTCAGGTCAGTGACTGTGTGGGATCACTGGGAGAGAGGGATGGAGATGAGGCATAGATGAGTAAGGGAGCGGAAAGGGACAAAGGGAAGGAACGATTGAAATAAGCATTGGCATGAAGAGCTGCCTAAGGTATGATGGCGTTTTGAAGATTGCAGAAAATATTCGTCGCAAATACCACGGTGCAAAAGGTGCATATGTAAATTGTCATCTGGCTGCCGTCAAATCTGATTACAAAGTCTGGTACACAGAAAAACAGCCGCAAAGCAATTTGTAACGAGGCGATGTTAGGCTCTTACAACATTATCATGATTCAACTTCCAAGCCATGGATTAGGCCGTTTGGAAATTATAAGCTCCAATGTGGCACTCAGCAAACAACAATAAATCAATAAGTCAGCCGCCGGCGGATTGGAGGATGAGTTGGGCAACAACCTGAGCAGCCAGGAACGTTAATCACTCTTAGCATCCTTCATGGTGTCAATTATCCACCCAATCTTTTAAACTACCCGGACAGACCACCACGTCACTAATTCCACTCCAAACCTAACGCGACCACGCGACCGCCGCGCCGGCGGGGTAGCGCCCTGTGGCGCGTCGCAGTCTTTTAGTGTCGTATGTTGCGTTGCAGTTTCCACACTCTCGATGGCTTCTGTGGTTTGAGAGGCCTCCGGCGGTCGTCCGCACGATCGTTTCAGCCGGTTTTCTGTCCCGTTATACCTCCCACAGTTCTGATCACGTAACGAGACTTGCCTCGATTATTTGAATCGAGACAAGACTCGAACAGGGCTATATATTTGAATCGAGACAAGACTATATACGAATTAATTATTGAGCCTTGTCTCACCTTATGCTTCTTGCGTCCGATCAAAATCCGTGAGACACAAGCAGGCGGCGCGTTCTTTGACGACAGACGGTTGTCATGGTAACATGTTTCGCCGTGTGCGTCACGGTTGCTCGCCCGGCGCTGGCAGCGACACCAAAAGTGCATCGTGTCCACTGCTCATGACAAATGTGGCAGCCGCTGTGGTCTTCAAGGTTAGCGGCGCGCCGTGTCGTGCCGCATGGAAATTCCTGCGAGCAATGTGCAGACGAGACGGCGCGTTTGCTATGCATTAGACTGGTCCGATAACCAGGACTGCGGCTACTAAAACCACAGCTGGATGAAATCTGTCTACCATCACAAGAATGGCATACATCTCGGCCATATGAAGCATAGTTCGGGTCGACTGCCCAACTGATAAAGACCTGAGAGCATCCGTGTTTCAATACTGGAGCTTTACACAACACACATGCAACTACTAAGTCATTTAATAAATGTTACGGCAATAAGAGACGCCACTGATAGTCACTGGACACCAATTTGGAACAGGAAACAGCCTGAGACAATCTGATCGCACGTATTCACGTAGGCACGTGGGCTTGATGTCTTCTTTCTCTTCTCATGCTGACCTTTCAAACGGAGCGACGTGCATACGAATAAATGTTTTTGCTCGATGATCGAAACCGATTCATGCATGGTAGAGCAATCAGGAAACGGAAGAATCAATATGTAGACTGCAGATCAGTTGTTTTATCAGGGCAAAACCTCAGCCATCCCGGATACGATTATCTCCGATGATCCGAACCACTGCTCATCACTTACTCTAGCACGAATCACAATTCTCCCTAGCTCTGCTAAGCTCACATAACGGAATTTCTAACCCTTCACCGTCCCCGTTCAGCACCCGCTCCTATAACACCCCCACCACATCCCACACCCATACACCCCAGACGCCACCCGTCCAGCCGTCTCTGAGCCGAAGGAGCGGCCCCCCGAAACAGCACCATCAATGGCCCATCCGGGCGCGGACCGTCGCGCAGTGTCATACGATGAATGGTAATGGTCGCCGTCCGTTTCGCGCGGTGTACGAGTCAGGTCCGGTCCCTGTCAGGCAGCAGCGAGTGGAGACAAATGGCGGCGACGGGACGGGAGTCTGCAGACGAGGCAGGGTGGGGCCAGAGCTGCTAGCAGAGCTAATGCGTTCAGCAGCTCTGCTGCAAAGGAGAGGGACGCTTGCGGAGGACAGTCAGAAAGGACTGAGGGGTGGACGACACTCGACTGCAGTTGATGTTTGGGAGTGGCGCGTTTTCGTCTTCGACCGTGTACATTTTGATGCATGGGAATTGATGATATGTGATAAGTGTGGAGGATAATTCATTCCCGATAAAATTTCATTCCATTTTTTTTTTGTTCTATTGGTCCGTCTTTTTTTCGATATTTTCTATACACAGTTTACCTCACCCCCCTGACAATAAACGCAGTAGCAATGACACCACCATTCTCTTCCACCGGCAGGCGGAACAAACACAACTTAGCAATGACACCATTCTCTTCCATCGACAGGCGGAGGGTGGAATTATCGCCGACGCTCCGGTGGACAACTCCCTGAGCGAGCTGTCCGGACAGGACGGCGGACAGGACGGCGGAGAGAGTGCCGGGGGACAGAGTGCCGGTGGACAGAGTGTCGGAGGAGCAGGAAACTTCGACGACGGCCAATACCACCCGGAACAGTACAACAGCGGCAAATACGACCCCAACGCGTGAGTGACAAGGGCAAAGTTTAATTGGGCAAGATGAGATATAGGGGCATTTCTATCGTACGCCCGGTCATTAATCATTATGCTTCCAAATGTGGTGGGGAATATGAAGATGTATAAGAGAAGAAGAAGGAGAGGGATAAAGATATAAAGAAGGAGGGATAGCTTAGAGGGAGAAGAGTGCAATCATTTCCAAAAGCAGCAGTATATGCACGGAAAATGGCGGTCCAAAGACCTATCCTCGCATTGCTGAGAATCGTCTGGGCACAGCGTTTCCAATGAGGGGAGAGTTCAATGAGGGAGGGAGGAACGAAAAGAAGGGACAGATGTCCACGGCCCTGGAAAATGGGGACAGAGCCGCGACACTGAGGGGCGCGGGAAAAGGGTGTGGGCGGTGAGCACCCGACCACGTATCAGATGTGTTTACGGGGCGGGTCGCCGCATCCATTGCTGTTCCTCACTCCGCTGCGGTGTCAGATCGGCAGACCAATAAGGTCAGCCCCCGAGAAACCTGCGCTAGAGGGAGGCACGGAGATTAATCTCATTGACGGCAAAGGTCCCGATGGGGCGGGCAGGGTCGTCCTCACGAATAGCCGAGAGACTGACTCACTGCTTGCTAAATATTCCACGATGCAGTTCAGGGTAGGAGCTATCTGACTAATGGGGTCCAGTCACAGGCCCAATGTCAAACATGTCGGGGGCTATTTTCGCGAACCATTGTATTCAGGTACAGAGCCCGTTCGGCATATGGCTGCATAGGGAAAAGTCGTAATTCCACGTCTGCGTGAGTAGGTATCCCGCACAATGGAAGCAGCCTTTCGCCGAGATGTTTGCCCCGTTTCGGCTAGTTTTACTCAACGTAACAGCGAGGAATGACCAAACGAATAGATTAGTAGGATACCCACTTAGTGCACAATTCGAGACGGTTCGATCTATCGCTAACTTCCAGGAATGAGGCAATCCCGTGTGAAATCTAACAAAGCAACGCATCAATAGTGCCTAAAATACAAAATTTAAGCAATGCTGGTAAAATGTGACCCAAAAGTTCGCTAATAGTTCATTGTCCCAATAACAAAAGCCACGGTTTAAAAATGAGTACCATGTATGCCAGCTTGAGAATAAAAATTGAAAATACAAATATGAAACTTCGCACACCAACACAATGACATTTTGAGTAACTCACGTCCGTCCTGCAGTGGCAAATTCACCGGAGACGACGGCCAGTACCACCCGGAGAAGATTGAGTTCCCTCCCATCGAGGACTTTGAGTTCGCCTACGCCGTCAAGGACAAGGATTCGGGCAACGACTTCGGTCTGTCGGAGACCAACAAGGGCGGCGTCTACAGGGTCCTGCTCCCCGACGGTCGGATACAGGTGAGAGGAGAGACTGGTGGTGAGAACGGATGGCCGTGACGCGGTGAGGTGCGAGGTAAATATATTGTGGTGTTATTAAATTAGTTTTCATTTTCAAAATTGATATAAGAATAACCAGTAACCTCATAATATAAATCTGAAATAGGAGCCAAAAAGTTATATTTAAGATTATCGAATATTTCGCTCCTGGAGCTTCGTCAGCGATAATTACAGAAAAACATGTTTTTGATGTTTTTCTGTAAGGGCGGCTCTGTAAGGGTAAGCTTCGTCAGCGATAATTACAGAAAAACATGTTTTTGATGTTTTTCTGTAATTATCGCTGACGAAGCTCCAGGAGCGAAATATTCGATAATCTTAAATATATCTTTTTGGCTCCTATTTCAGATTTATATTATGAGGTTACTGGTTATTCTTATATCAATTTTATTCGTCATGAGCCTCAAGCAGAGTTTCAGCTTTCTAAGAAGTCTTTCATTTTCATTTCACTTTCATCTTCTCATCAATTTCGCTGCCTGATAAGCACAGCGTTTCCACAGCTCTCGAAATGTTTCAGTAGACTGTATAACACGCATCTGCATGGGATCCTTTAAATCAAAACATTTGAATAAAAATGGGTACCTATCTGTCTATCTGTATCAAAAAAATAGGTAGGTCACAACAGAAACTCGGCATAAAATACTTTCAAACTAGTGAGCACTTTTCTCGCCTTTCAGATTGTACAATTCGTCATCGACAGCAGAGGAATCTACCGGAGTAGGATCACCTATCTTCAGCCGGAGGACTCCCAGTGAGCGACCCTGCTTTGCTGCCATCTATCGGCAAAAACTCGAACTTGTACCTGCACTAGCAGCCGGCGCTGCGCCGCTGGGCCACTGCCGGCGGGTTAGGGACGCTCGGGTCCGCACCCACGCCGTGGAGTGGGGGAGCGGGAGGAACCCGTCTCTGGATCCGAGGAGTCTCTCGAACCGAATGAGTGGGCGCAGGTCGTCGCTGAGCGGTCTCATCAGTATGCCTCCTGTGAGCTCTCGTCTGGACAGTGGGGGCAGCGCGGAGTGAGAATATAACTTATAGGGCTGCTGCACGGCGCGAGAGAGTGCCGTCGTGCTCGACAGAGTGTCATCAGTTATGGGATTGGCTGTAACTGGGAGGGGATAGGAGCGAGTCTCTGCTCCCCGCCAAACTCAAGGCTCCGGGTGACGGGCCAGCCAGCGGCACATGTCTGCAGAGTAGCATCACGGGCATAATCGTTCGAATTATTGCAAAACAAAAGCCACAGGTGAATCAAGTAAACAGCGACGTGTTGAATTAGCATCAACCAATGCCGAATGAAGAAAGTCTGGAGATTAACAATGCAATGACGCAAATCAACGACATTAATCCAGCTCATCAAACAATGCGCGGGTACGGCCTAGGGTATGGAATGTGTCAACGTGCCATGTTCGTACGCGCCATAAATGTGCTTGTTTGTGTAAAAATGTTAAACGATTGCTACAGGCAAGGTCAGCCATTCTAATGGCATCAGCTGTTGGCTTTGGTAAAAAAAGCAGCAAGAAGAGAAAGAAATGCTATTGTTTTAGAGAGAGAGAGAGAGAGAGAGAGAGAGAGAGAGAGAGAGAGAGAGAGAGAGAGAGAGAGAGAGAGAGAGAGAGAGAGAGAGAGAGAGAGAGAGAGAGAGAGAGAGAGAGAGAGAGAGAGAGAGAGAGAGGAGAGAGAGAGAGAGAGAGAGGGAGCACATGTAGTGTCTCTCAGAAGCTTGTGATTATGCACAAAGTGAGCTTAATACATTCCTATCCATACCACTGTATTTGGCTTCTTGGAGGCTTGCATGCATATTGTATACCCAGGAACACTTGTCAGATTGTGACGCTCGTCGATCTCGCAGGGTCGCTCTTCGATCTATGTATGTTGTATAGGAGATTGGGGTCAACTGCGCCGCATTGTAACAAATGTAAAAAGTAAATAAACAATTTCTTCTTCTGTGATAGTCTGTTTTGGGGACCTCTTGTTCCAGCCGTATAACCAACACGGTTTTTCTTTTCTTCAAGTATGTATTGCAAATTTGACGACAGAATCCAAAAGTAATAAACAGTCGGCCGAGACTTTGAATAACGATACGTCAGGCCACTACGGCGGTTGGCTTTCGAATGAATCTTTCACAGCTCCTGCTCGGCGTTCGGCGTCGGCCGCTATATTCAAACGTCATACACACACGTCATACATATAGATGTACGTCATATCATAGCACCAATCAGAAGCGGGCGAGGACAGGCGTCGCAGGTGAGGAGTGAGGACCATATAAGGATATTGTAAGTGGGCGAGGGGGCTGGGCAGTAAGTAGGTACAGAGGGAAGTGGAGGACGGGGTAGGAACGAATTTCGTTACACGCATTCGTCGCATTCTAGGACCACGTGGTGACGTGATGGAATCCGCGGTGAACCTTGAGACAGACGAATACAATGCATCGCATTTGCCCCATCAATGTGCAATGACCATCGGTCTGAATATGTTAACACAATGGCATTTATAAGACATAAAAGATAGGAGCTAAAGAATTTCTATAAACATGCGTCTCACGCCTGCTGAGGTCTTTTGTGACATTGCAGTTCACATCACACTAAAAGGCAACAAGATGAATCAAACATCACAATATTGTAGGATGAAAACAAAACATTTTAATAAAAGACATTATTTTGTAAACCTCAATTAAATGTTTGGAATTGGACATCAACGATTTGAAATATGACACTATATAGGGCAAAGAGCAAAAGATAACGCAGATGATAGAAATCGCACATCTATGCACCTGAATTCAGGTTGCAATAACAGAAACATTGCTGACAGCTCCCAGCCTTAGATTTTTAACCATCTAAGTTTAGATATGCTCACCACCCAATAAAAACAATTCAAAACTGGGATATGATAGCAAGCGCACGGTTCCTTCACAAATGCTTCATTGCGGAAACATCTAAAATAAATGACCAATTGGATGTTCCTGCCACATCAAGAGCTGATTCAATGAAAATGCAGATTTGAGTCCTAGCATATGCCCGCAAATAGGTAGCTCTACAGAGCTAATGACCAAACTGGTACCTGGAACATCGTTCTAACCACCTGTCCGTTAGTCATGTGAACACAGGCGGCTAATGGCCGTCGCCGGCGGTGGCCTGGCTCAAGGTCCGATGACATCATCAGTGACATCGGAACGGACCCGGGCTTGGAAATGTGTGTCTCAGACATTCCCATGAAATCGGGTAGATATCGGGTCACAAGCTGAACAATAGACGCTTTAACCCTCGCCCGTATTGGTGTTTTTCCAGCCGAGAACGTATAAGGGGGGGGGGGGGTCCGTTGGACCCCCCCTTGCCGTTTCGCCCCTGATCGAGCTAGAGCTTCGCGGAAAAAACGAGCGTGTTGCCCGTGACGAGAGGAAGCCGATGATACCTAATTTTAAGGTCCTAGGTCATTGGTTGACCTTGCAGGTCAGGTCAATGACCCAAAAGTCGGGAAAATCGGGACCTGTTAGAACGTCGTAAAGTGTGGCTGCTACGGGGTTTTTCGGGGTGCTGATCACGAATATCATGTTAGTTTTGATCACAGATGATGTCTTCATGCATTTAGTCCGGGTCGGGTCAGGTCAGGTCAGGTCAACCAGTAGGGGTCCTGCCGGGTATTCCTAGTAGGTGTCAACCGCCTCTGATAGCTTCGTAACATGTTACGAAGGCACCAAAACTACTTCGTAAATGTTCAAATGGTTGCTAAATTCGAATTCAGCTGCAAAAACTGACCTAGAAACATGTAAAACTCGAAAAAGTGTACCGAGGTCATCAAAGGTCAATGACCTGACTTGACCTTCAGGTGACCTTGACACCCACTCTAACGCATGGGGGCAACATCATATCACATGTTTGAACGCTTGAAACCACGAAAAGACTGCAAACGCGCGGCTAATGCGAGCCGACATACGCCGAATCGCGATTCCGGCCAAACATGGTCTCGAAAAGTAGGTCACAGGTCAAAGGTCATTGGGGTCAGGGTCATGGAATTTTCAGAGTAGATGTAAAATTGATTAACGCGAGGGTACTGAAAGTTTCGTCGCGATCGGCCGCTTTTTACGCGAGTTATTCGCGAAAAACCATGGGGGGGGTCCGTTCGACCCCCCCCCCCCCCCTATACGGGCGAGGGTTAATATTGTTGTTTGATATCTAAATTGAAGTGGATGAAAGTAACCGGCCCAACGTTCATACAGTTGTTATAGCAATGCAAGGTAATTATAAATATGAAAATATCTACGCAAGCTACTGAGGCTTTATGCGACACCATTTTGGCAGAATGCCAAACATTTCATGCGTAGATGAAATCACAAAACCCACAACAAACCAAGCACATTCACAAGAATCGAGAGCATGGAAATCACGCACTGAGAAGCTGAACGGCGCACGCACACACTCACACGCCCTGCACCCAACTGTGCAGTGCCTTTACCCTGCTCATGACCCGTAACACCCACAGTCAAAACCAGCTATATTCGCACCATTTAACGCCACTGTCTAATTAACCACTAGGGTGCCATTAAGAAGTCAACCCGCGTGGTCACAGGCAATTGGGTCAGCCTAGCAGAATGACAGATACAAATGTGCGTCCAACCCCTCCCTCCAAGGCTATTTTCTGGTTTGATTTCTTGAGTATTGCCCAACGGTTCGGCCGGCTGGTCGCTTGCGGCACAGAGCGGAAACGTGGGTTCTCACGAGCTTATGGGACTGTGTATTCGCACCGTTTAAACAGATTGCACCGCAGAAGTATGTATGTCGACAGTGGATGATTTGTGGATGGTCACTAAAAGAGAAGGGCGCTCAAGCGGTAAATGCATGGTCAACTCAAGGTATACCGCGCAAAAAAAATCGTTTGTAAGCACTTCCGCTTGCTTGCTGTAGTACCAAGAGTGCATGGAAACGACATGTATAGTTGTTATTCTAAAGCACATCAAATAAATATTCAGACATAATATGGCACCGCATGTCTATGCATAAGTTTTTGAGCCTCATTAAACGTCAAGGCACATTATCCTCGCCTCCATTGTTGACTACCTGCTCCTTTTGCCGATCGCATCGAGCCCCTATCTCAGCGGATGGCAACAGACACCGTGGCCATCGTTCTCTGTCAGGATGGGCGCCGAGCGCAGTAACGAACGAGCCTGCACACCACAGCTGACTGACCGACACCCGGCAGTGTTTATTTACATATCGGATTAGCGGCACATTTAGCTGGGAGAAGGTACGTTAGGAACAGCCGGGCTGCCACTGACCTGACAGGGGACGACGCGTCAGGTGACGCCCAAGCTGTGTAAGGAAGCCTGGGCCGCAGTTCACGGCACGCCGCTACATCGACCGCTGCTAAGGATTGACGCCACGGTTCATGGAAATATGCACATTGCACAAACTATTATTTTTGTTTACGTTTCCATGGAAACCAAAGTGCCAATGTCTGTTAGCGGAGCGCTATGAAACACGCACTGGTACACCTCACATGCCACCAGCACTATCCCAGATTTGACACCCGTACTGTCCCGATCCTGACACCCAGACTATCCCGGTCCTGGTGGTACTCGTACCGTCCCAGTCTTGACACCCGGACTGCCCCAGTCCTGACACCTGCAGTGAGTCTGGTACTCGACACCAGTCGATTTATGTCTGGCCTGACACCTGGACTATCGCCGCTGTGTGATACCGCGAGCTCAGCGGAGCGGAACGCAGTTGGCTGCTCCTCCAGTGTGGCCACCGACCACCTACTACCGGGCCTCGGACTGTGTCCATCCCCCGTACCGACCGCCGCGCTGGCTGCCGGCTGTCTGCTACTTGACAGCAGTGCTTACTCACTTTCCATGGATTTGGACCGGCAATCATGTCGGATGTAATTTGCTGCTAATTAAACATTCTTCAAAATTGCTGACAATTTCGTTCAAATAATGTTTATTTTCTTAACATTGAACAACAGCATAGCGAAATAGGAACCGAACGCTGTCGCAAATAACAACATGAATGTTTTGCGGCGCAATTATGATTAGGTATACCTTGTATGGAGCCTTATGGAAGAACAGACCAACAGGAGGTGTTATTTCTAAGAACAGAGAGAGAGCCGCAATATAAGTATCTTGTCCACATTGACAACACAAGGCCACCTTTTCCTTAACCCAGAAGCGGAGCGAAGCACCTTGACGATGCTAGTCAGCAAGGACTTCCGTCTGACTTCGGGCGGGGCAGCAGACCGAGAAAATAATTCACTCTTCACACCTGAGGCCCTGCACGGGATCTGATTTCGGTGCATGAATATTCGACGCCACCACGGTGCAGCCAAGACAACGTTACGTGCAAGGTGCAGACGGCAGTGGGCACTGGGCAGTATCGGGAAGTGGTTGGGAGCGTTCCTCATGGGTATAGTTTGCGGTATTTAAATTGAGTGAATTGTAAAACCATGCTTCGTTCACTTCACGCCAAGGCAAGGGTTGGTTCCCTCCATATGGTATGGGTTCATGAAGCACTGCAAGGCTGTTCCTAGCAACCTTTGGAAGCAAATAATTTGAAATGCCGTTGTGACATCACCATTAGCCAAACGACGGTTGATTTGTAGTACTGACTGCCTAACCCTAAGTGTAAGTAGGCACTGTAGGTACACTGAATGCATGTATTGTATATTATACAGGGTGATTTTTTTACAGGGCAAAAATTTTTAAGCCTAGAGAAACCAAAACATATAACAAACGCGAAAATAGTATATCCACGTGAAAGGAAATTGTTTGTCATTTTGTTTTCAGGACCTTTTAGAGCAGGGGTCGGCAAATGGTGGGGCATGCCCCCTTTGGGGGTAATGGAGCCCTTTCGGTGGGGGTAATGAGGGATTCTGAGAAAGCCTATCTTTTTAGAGTTTGTAGCTCCAGTGATGGAGCACCGTGACTGTTGCATCCCAGGGTTCAAAGATTAGCCCAGGCCAAAGGCACAGCAGTCAGCACACATTGATTAGATACCAATTTTCACGTACCTGCTCGCCTCACCATCTCACCCCTCCGTACAGTCGTACAAAAGCAGCTGCAACTTTTGACCGTCGCCCGTCTGTTGGCGTTTCAACAGCCGCTAACGTAAGGGGGAGGAGTCGGTCGGACCCCCGCGGCCTCTCGGACTCTGATATAGAGCTGTGCATAAAAAAGACGAGCGTGCTACCCATGACAATAGGAAGCCGCTGCTGCCCATTTTAAGGTCCTTGGTCATTCCGTCTCATTCAAGAGGGCAATGACAAGTGTCGAGAAAATCGGGACCCGCTACAACTCCTTGAAGTGAGAGTTTATGGCTCAAGATGATCTCCAGAAAAAAACTCATAAGCCAACGGTCATTATGGGTCCAGAGGCCAGTTTTACCAATAGAAAAATAGCCGCCTGCCGGAATTTTTGCCTAAAGATCGTTTCACATATGGAGCGTAAACGGTACAGCCCTATCCGCTTACGAGCCCATCGCGTTTACGCTCCGTATGTGAAGCGGTCTTGAGGCAAAAATTCCGGCAGGCGGTTATTTTTCTGTTGGTAAAACTGGTCTCAGGTCATGATATTTTCCGGGCTGGTAAAAGAATATGATGGGCTCGAGGGTACAATTTGGTCGTGATCCAATGCCTTTTACCTGAGCTTTTAACGAAAAACCACCCGCCGCCCCTATACGTACAAGGGTTAAATGGGATATAGCATAGGCGGCGGAACGGAGAGGGCACCGGGGCACCGTGCACCCTTTGATTTTTGCATTTTAACATTAGCCCTATGGGCGTTGCATGGAAAGAATGGGACCAAAAGTCAGCAGTGCCCCCCCCCCCCTCCCCTCCCGGCCCTCCCCCTTAATTGAAGGTGTTCCGCCGCTACTGGGATAAAGGCATTAAATGTTTTGTGGAGGAAGTGTCATGTTTTAAACTTGATGCATTGGAAATGCACAAATACCCAAAGAGTTCCAGGACGGTATGGAATTTCAGTAAACTTGGTTGTGTCAGCAATGGGGTCTGGTAGGTGGGGGTAATGGCGCTGCCTGGCGCCCAAAAAGGGGGCACGACCCCGAATGACCTGCCGACCACTGTTTTAGAGACTTCTTGGGACTCATTCTGTTGTGAAGTTCCGTGAAAATGGCGCACAACAAAAATTTCTCCCCAAAATCGCCAATTACTCCAGGCTTGCGTGCATTAAATCTGTGCTCACTTCGAGCACGTTCTGTACGCCTAAATGGAGCTCAAACTCAAAGTTTTTGTGTGCAAATGAAATGTCAGAATGTGCTTATTACAAATATATACATTTGCTGTCAGTTGATGTGTTTTCTGGTACCGCCATTGCTATTTACTTTTTGCCCTGTATAAAAAAAATCACCATGTAGTTTGAACATATGGTGAAGAGCGATTATATCAATAACGTTCAAAAGGAAACTGATCTCAATTGGATAATTTGTAAATCCATTCATCTCGTCTCGTTCCTGAAGCTGAATCATGCTGTAAAAACAGGCAATTTGAGTTTGGGGGGTGTCACACAGTCCCCAAGAAGATAAAATAAAATATGAAAGGCCACTATGACTCCCAAAAAAGCTCTTTTTCTCACTGAAAAGTGAAAAACAATCTTGGTACTGTCGCATCAGGAGATCCAGAAATATACTCAGTTTTACAACGTAAATAACACAGTACAAATCACCCAACCATGATCAACCATGATACCTAAATAAAGAATGATACTTCGACACCGTATGTATAACTGTACACTGAACATTCGTACACATCAATGGAAACGTAATTGTCATTCAGACTTCGGGCCTTCAGGGTCCTCTCATGCGAACGGCTGGTATTTAAGTGGCCACATTTCCTTGGCATCCGCGACACTCATTCACACATATGGCTTCGCAATGCTGATTGAAAGAGCCCACTTGTCTCCGAAACCACTTCCACTTGCCACTATTTGATCATATAAAATATTTGATAGTTACATTAGCCGTTTATCTAGCGGCTATGCAACATTCCCTTTGAAGCAGAATTCGTACTTGTGCCCATAGCAATGAATTTAAGCTTCCTCAATAGCGCAACTGATGCTAAAATAGTCACTGAAATTGCCAGCTAAATAGCCGCTGTCAGTTGCCTGAGCTGGCGACCTCGCTATTTCAAGGGCACTCAAGTGAAATAAATAGAGAAGATATACTTCAACACACTATCATGCATCAGCTATCGCTGAAGGTCCGACAACCAAGGCAGCCCTTGCTTCATCGTGCGGAGTTATTTCCGAAACAGCTTGAGGTTTTCATGAGAAGGTATTCAAGCACGGCCCGGTAGCAATTCCTTTGCGAATAATGCATAATAGCCAGGGGTTGATATTATTAAAGGAAGGGTGCCACCTTTTGGACACAACGCAGTTTTTACAAGATTAGCCTCACATGAACCTAAAAACCGGCTTCACTTACCTATGCTCGAGACGGTCAGCATTGAATCCGCACGTGAAGTTATCATTTGCCAGTTTTGCTGCCAGCATTTGGGCAGGCAAAAATCTTCAGCACTATTTCCTCGTCGTGTTAAGGGTATTTTATAAAACATGAAATCAGCAAAGGTATGTATAAAAGTTATACTTTTGAAGCATGTTTTATCATTTTGAAAGGGTATATTTTTTCTTTATGGTATACACTTAAGTTTTAAAATTTTAATTGGGAAGTTTTTCTAGTAAGTTGCATGAAGGGTGAAGGGTTCCATAGATCTCTTAAGCATTGTAAAGGAAAAACCTTTACTCGACTTATTTGATGTTCTTTTCTGATGTTCTTTCTGATGTTCTTTTGATGAAACCTTTAGTTCAAATCATGTTATCTTCTTTCTTTTTATTTGTTCATCTTTTTGTCTCAGTTGCGCCATCAATGCAAATGGCAGAATGATATGTTGCCATGACAACAGGATATGCCAGCCGTCCTAGCTGCCACATCAAACGACCTTGAGTTGTAGTGGTGATATAAACAACGATCTTTTTTTTGGCCAATGTATTAAATGCAATGTTTCGGTTTTTTGTATATTGTGGACGCGCTAACCACGTCTAAAAATTCAAATAAGTAAAATAGATTCATAGAACAAAAATTTCGGAAGGTGGCACCCTTCCTTTAAGCATATACTTTTATTTTCGGCTGCCCGAAGCTCCCTGATCGTTCCACCTCAGACCTGGCACACAGCTCCCGCTCCCACCAGGAACACGCTCTCATCTAAACACCTTGCAAGTTGCAACCATCATCCTTCCGGCACCATCGTCCCCTGGAGCAATACACTCCATCGCGTGCACGGTAGCCGCACGTGTTTGGCACCGCCGCGGGCGCCTCGAGTGCCCACTCCAGGTGCGCCGCAAACCCTCGTCCGTTCGTCCAGGTGACTGTCCCAGGGCGACTCCCATGAAAACCACGGTACCCGGCCCGCCGTCGCACCGTCCACTGTGAGCCGTTCACAGGGATACGCCCCAGTTTACGCAAGGCAAGGCCGCACGCTACGCTCACTTGGCCCCACTAATGGCGGCCGTCTGAGCAACGTTGCGAAGTTTGGGGGAAAATCGTCGCCCCCGGTCGGTCGGGGTTCCATGGGAATGGCGGTATATAACTGGTGGGTGCCGACTGGAGGGCATCAGTGGACTGTGAGTGTGGTGGTACAGCAGCACATACTCAGCAGCGGCGCACAGGAGCCGCCAATATGAAGGTAGGGCACAGTGGAGGAAGGTGATTTGATTCTAGTGGCGTTTGAATACCCCGTGTCATCAAACAGACCAATTATCCATTATTATAATCATCAGTTCACCAAGTATCCAATCAATCATCGAATAAAAAAATAAATAAATAAAGAAATAAATAAATAAATAAATCAATCAATCAATCAGAATTCGGTAATATTTACAATTATGATGATCCATCAATCTAGCAGCAAATTAATTAGGTAATTGTTCAATTAGCAGACAAACGACAATGCAGCTCATCACCATTGTAAAGGAAATGTGTCTGCTATTCCCAATGTTGCTCGATGGGTGACGTAAATAAATGCAGACGTTGCTTCATTTGCATTGGTCGCACAATATCTATAAACTTTTTACTTTGTTAAAAACAACAATCAAAACACTTTTAAACAATTAAAACACCTAGCTCTTGCGTATGTTAGCCATCGGTTCAGATTGCACAGCGGAAACAATCCCTAATAATTGGGCTTCTTCCGATAGTTTTTTTTATTCTAAGCAAATAAAAGAAAATGATGAAAAACCTACTTAGTACTTATTCAAAATTGATAAAAGAGACATGATTCAGTTTGTGGTAAACATTGTACAATTTTTTCTCTCCGCAATATATCTTTCTGGCCAAGGCAACCCTTGCCTGAATACTTGATACATAACTAATACTTGCATTACTCCTTTTAAGGAGTTTTGTGGTTCCCTGTTCACTGTTCTTTCTTTTCCGATGGTATTGCATTGCAATACACACCTGACTAATGGCTATTTTGTATCATATCATATGCTGGGTCGAAAAAGGCGCTAGTCTAAACTCGCGTCGCACAAAAATATTGAGTGGCTTCATTCAGTTTGCCGTTACCTTTCCGACGATGTTTTAGTAAGCAATAAAGACCAAACAAGCCAAAATAAAATGTCAAAAAGAAATAAAACGGAATTTAAAATGCCAACAAGACATTCAATGTGATGAGTAACGCAAAATGTAGAAACGTGGTAGGCGTTCACCCTTCACATTGCGCCATGTAGAGAGGTGCGCCTGAAGAAATGAGCTCATTTTCACACGGGTGAACTGCAGGAGTATTGCAACAAACGAGAAAATACCTACAAGGGTTACCACGGCTAAACACATACGTAAGCGTTAACGACCATGACCGAACGGCAACACCCAAATGTACCAATAAACATTAACCCGTCTTATTGCGTCGTGGATGACAATGGCTAACATTAATTGTGACACTTTTTCCCACAGGTCTTCATCGTTTTGGCTGTGGCGGCGGTGGCATCCGCCCAGTACTACGCCTCATCACCTGCGCCGGCCAACCGCTACGCCCCCACCGCCGCCCCGGCTCCGTCCAACCGCTACGGCGCGCGGGCCGCCCCCGCCCCCGCCAGCCGCTACGCACCAACCGCCGCCCCCGCCCAAGCTAACCGCTATGCGCCCACCGCCGCCCCTGCTCCTGCCCCCGCTAACCGCTACGCACCCACCCCCGCCCCCGCCAACCGCTATAGTCCCGCCCCGGCCCCTGCCTCCTCTGCCCCGGCCGCTGAAAACCGCTACAGCCCGGCTCCGGCTCCTGCCCCAGCCGGCGGGTACAGCGCTGAGGAGGTAAGGTTACTTTTTTATGTTACAACGCTGTCGTCATTCAGGAAAAATACCTCACAAACGACGACTACAATTACTTTTAGGAAGCCAAACATAATGAAATTGTTATAAATATTGACAACAGAAAATAACAGTTGCTGCATTCACAATTCACATATTCTTGATATTGCTTCAAAACATATATAACTAGCTCATATACGAAAGATGACGGGCAATTCCACGACAAATCACCTAATTTTTTTCCAATTGTTCACCATGACCTCTCCGATTTTGCTCAAATTTGGCATGTAAGTTGACCTATGGGCACTACTTCGTCCCAGTAAATTTTTAGTCTCTAGGTCACAGGGGTCATGAGATATGGGTCATGCAAATTTTTAGATTTTCCGGAACATTGAAATATAAAGTATTTTTATCTCTGCAACGGTTCACCGGATCAAAAAAAGTTATATATGAAATAAGAAGCGCAAATGCTGGTGCGTCTAGCAAAAATGTGAACGAAACCCCAGGGTCATTTTTGACCCTTTGACCTCGTGACCTTTTCTTGACCCCGTGACCTTTCAAATTTGTCCTATTTTAAAAATTCTGATTTTTTCTATCAGAGATGTCTTATCCATGCTCTTAATAGTGGTATGTGATTTGGTTGGTATATCGGACCCGTTGACCTCAAACTGAGGTCAACAATGTGGTCATGACCTGACATGAAAATGACATCTGCCGAGAACGTCGAGAATTATAGGCAATATGGGTGTCATATTAAAGCTTACTTCACGGCGAATACATTGGTGGTGTTTTTGAGTAGGTATGGGCCGGGTCAAGGTCACATTAGGTCAGTGACCTAACACAGCATTGTGTTCTTTGAAGGTGGCGTATTTTATTTGTTTGGTAAGCCCAGTGATCAGCACACAATAAAAAGGAAACAATGACAAAGTTTTCCAAGGCTGGCCTTGGTGACTAAAGAATCCCTCCTTTTCAATCTCGTACATCTGTTCGAGATTGAATCTGTTCTCACTACCGTCGCATCTTCAATCTCCCAGTCTTCCCGCCTCACGTAACTTGTCACTGCCACGTCTCATCCCCACCCTCCACCACCCCCACGTCTCATTTCGTGCCTCTTTCCGGCAGAGCGGCCCGGTCAAGTACTCGTTCGACTGGTCGGTGAACGAGGACGAGAACCAGTACAACCACCGTGAGAGTCGGGACGGAGACAACACAGAGGGATCCTACTCAGTGGCGCTGCCGGACGGCCGCGTACAGACCGTCACCTACACTGTCAACGGAGACGGCGGCTTCGTGGCCACCGTCACCTACGAGGGCGAGGCCCAGTACCCGGCGGCTCCCGAGGGAGGATACCAGCGCTCTCAGCCGGCCGCCGCGGCGCCGGCGCCCCAGTACGCCCCCAGCACCACCGCCAAGCCCCAGCGCACCTACGCTCCGCGCGCGCCGGCGCCCGCCACCGCGAAGCCGCAGCCCAGCTATGCGCCACGCACCACCGCTGCGCCTACGGCCGCCCCGCAGCGCAGCTACTCGCCGCAGCCGACCTCAGCTGCGCCGGCCAGCTACCCGCAGCAGAACGGCTACCAGCGGCCGCAGACCTACTCGCCGCGCCCCCAGCCGGCCGCCCCGCGCGGCTACAGCGCCCCTAGCGGCGGATACTCGCAGCAGCCGACCGCAGCGCCATCTACCGCCGCGCCGGCGCTGCCCTCTGACGAGTACGGCGCGCCGCCGGCGGCTCCTGCGCGAGCTGCCTACCCCGAGTACAAGACTCCCAGCAACCAGGGGTACCCCGCGTACAAGACGACGGGCGGTCTGAGTCAGGAGTACGGCGCTCCCGTCTCCTACTAGAGAGAAACACCTGAAGGTGGTCTCTCACCCTCTTCCCCTATGAGACAGCCAGAGAAGCTGCTGGTTTGAAACCGTTCAGGATAGCTAAACGGCCTCCTCAGACCAAGCAGCACCGTAAAGCTGTTATTCTACTGCCCAAGTCGCCTCCCACAAGAAAAGTGACCGCTGCCCCTCAAATCCCAGACTTAATGCTCAACGCTCACATAAAATACTCGCCTGATTTGGTGACATGATCTGTGAAAGGCATGGCTAGCTCAGAGCAGGCCGTAAGTATCTGCATTGTTTGGTCATTGAAGTCTTGCAAGGCAGCCCATAGCTCTTCAAGCGTAAGAAGTGCGAAGACGTGGACTCTCTCATGTAATAACTGAGGAAACTTCTAACGTATTTATTATATTTAAAAGTGTGAAAGTGTCGACTGTAGCGCCATGATTGTGCTATTCCCGCAGTGTGCTGACCGGGAGCATCAATTAAATCTACAAGCCTGAGCCAAATCCGTCCAATGTATGTATGTGTCGTCACTGAGCGTAATCGGTGACAAAAGATGTGTGCCTGTATGTATATGTTGTCTAGTCAAAATACACGGTCAGAAACTGGGCGCAATTTTGCCAAATCGTAGCAAGATGCTTTATTTTGAGGCTCTAAGATTTCGAAACGAAATGTAATACATCTGCACTGCGGGAAGGCCAGTGAAAAGGGCTAGTTACTCGGAACTGGCAAAACTTCAGCGCGTTGACGTAAGGCTCACAAGCTCAACCATGGTGCATTTCGTCTGTTATCAATGTCCAAATGCCGTGTTGCGTACCTAATTGTAATCGTGTTCAATTTTACATTGAAACAGCACACAATTATCTCCAGAATGATTAGGATCATAATTTTCAGAATGCAGACCTATTCCCTTCACTAACGATATTATACTAGAAGAAATGTTTCTCACTTTGTCAATCTAGTCATTCACACTCAGACACAAAATAAACGCTTAATTGGCCAGCGGCCAATAATTACCCACGAACAAATCGCCTTCACCGACCAGTTACCCACGAGTGGAGCTCTCATCTCGCTGGCGAAACTCTGTCGTTTAGAGTCACTGACCACGCCTTCAGTACGGCGTGGCCGAGCGGCCGGTCGGCAGAAGTGGCTCAGTTCCCACATTATGACTATTCATTGGAACCAAGTCAGTGGACGAGCTAGGTGGGCGGTGGGCATACGTGCAGGCCACAGAAGCCAGCGAAACGAGCATCTCAGTGTATAATCGCCATAGGTCTATGGAAACTGTGCGTTAGAGAATACATGACGCAAGTCATGTATTTGCCAGCGGAGGACCGGTGACCTGGAGACTTTAATGACCATGACTATGTGATGCAAATCACAGGTCATCGTACCAGGCGCTCGTTCCGTTATAAAGAATGGCATGGCTGATGACCTGTTATAGCGACCGTTCGACAAGCGTAGATCGTGGTCCAATGTGCAGCTAGAGATGCTAGGACTCTGTATCAAAGCACGCCTTCAGATAAGTGCGTCGGTTATGGTAAATCTAAATGCTCCGTCATCGAAGTCAATTCAGCAACTCAGCTTAACCCGCGCCCGGCTGGGGGTCCTGGATTTCCACGCCCTGCTGGGGGGGGTGTTTGAACCCCCCCCCCCCTTGTAACTCGGCTCCTGGGCCACGTAGCGATACGCGGAAGGCGGCGTTCGAAAGAGCGTAAAAAATAATGACGAAATCAATTCGGTCAATTTTTTGGTCAGGTCAAAGGTCAGGTCACCAGAGGTCATTGAAGGCAAAATTTCGCCGATTTCCAGGTCGAATGTCGAAAATTTCCAAGAAGCCAACGCATAACTCGGGAACCAATAGAGCTACAGCGCCGCGAAAAAGTGCATTCGATAGCCCTATTAACGCCCTTTCTGAGTAATTCTCTCAGATTTGACCTAACGTCAACGGTTTTGCCTGCAGGGGCCAAAAACTGCAAAAATAGCCGATTTTTTCGGAAACAGTTTTTCTGCAATAACTTTTGACCCAAGCCTTCTACGAGCTTACTTTTACCGGCATCGTGTTCCTCTCGTCAAGACGCATCGAAGGAACTATAACTTGACCTTGAAAGGTCAACTTGAAAATTTGACCTCAGGTCAAGGTCATGACCTGACCGGAAAGGGTCATGTTGCATATCAGTCGATCCGTATCGTCGAGCTGAACACATATAAAGCGTTTTCATCGCTCTAGCATGCCTCTATCAAAAGTTATTTGCGAAAAACTGTTAGATACCATTCGTGACCTAAGATGACCTCAGGGCACAAACAAGGGTCACGGACACCATTTTCATGTTCAGTGTGTCTAAACCACTTGTAATTCGGTGTTTGGGAGTGTTTATAATGTCTTTCGTCCAAAAGAGGCGCATTTCAATTTTCTCCCATTGACTTATAATGGGGAGGTCGCAAAATTGACCTGACCTTAGGTCATCGATATCAAAATTCTGAGATATACATTTTGTACATGCTATTGCTCTTAGCAATCGCTGAAAGTTTCAAAGCGATCGGTCACTCGGTGTAGCTATGACAGACATTGAAACTTTTTATGAGGTGAGATCACTTCAAGTGACCTGGTGACCTGACCTTGAATGACCTTGGTCTGAAATTTTCACAACATGTGTAGAATTGATGTATGATAAGGTGTACCAAAAACGGCGGCGCTCCGCGCCGCCGTTTTTGAGATATTCGCGAAAAACCACAAGGGGGGTGTTCAAACACCCCCCCCCAGCAGGGCGCGGGTTAAACATGAAAAGGACCAAAATCTTCCATGGAACGTACCTATACAGTCAAGCTCGGGGAATCTCGGTGAACTCTGTGCTTTTCCCGGCGACTAAAACAGGCAGACAAGTGCTGCTATTAACTCTCAACTGCAGTTCCCAGACGGTAAAATGATGGAGAAGCGACCTCACTATTGCACGGTGATGCTATGCTTCACTACAGACTATCTCCGGCTATTGGTCACGCTACGGGAGATAAAATACCCAGCGTTCGTGGGAGGGCAATGCCTAATGTGCCTACTGGGACGCAGCGCACGGTACACTGAAAACCAGGGCTGCGGAGTCGGAGTCGGAGTCGGAGTCGGAGTCGGAGTCGGTCGGAGTCGACAGTTTTGACCGGAGTCGGAGTCGGAGTCGGAGTCGATTTTAGAAACCCGAGCCGGAGTCGGAGTCGGAGTCACCGAAAATCTGTCGACTCCGCAGCCCTGCTAGGTCTGCGGAGTCGGAGTCGGGAGTTGGAGTCGGTCGGAGTCGACAATTCTGCCCGGAGTCGGAGTTGGAGTCGGAGCTGGTTTTTGAAAGCCGGAGTCGGAGTCGGAGTCGGAGTCGCCGAAAATCCATCGACTCCGCAGCCCTGCTGAAAACGATATGAGATATTTGTATAAAAAAAAAAAAACGATGGCTTGCAGATCATAAGCGCTTAAGGAAATCCTGAATACATTACTCAGTTGTAGCTACGAAAAGCATCCTAAGCATAAGTTATTCATGACCATATTTATATTAGATAAGTATATAGAGATATGAGATCTGAGATGAGAGATCTGAGCTGTTCTTTTCCATTGAGGGCCAGTGTAGGCCAGTCACAAAAATTGATTATTTCCCACTCGTCACAATTCAGATACTTTCTTGATATAGCTAACTGAAGGTTTCTCCATGTAGTTAAGGGTAGGGCGGCTCCATCACGCGACACTCACTTGTTAGTTATCATCAGGCTTGTTACTTGCATCGTTCGACAAATAACCGTGTCAACAAAAGTACAGATTATTCGGCCATTGAAATCTCCAATCAATCAGGAAAAGTTTGCATACGCTATTACAGTCTGTAAGGTCAAGAGGGAAGAAACTACCAGGAAACGCCTGTTCCGGACCATTTACGAAACAGCTTGTAGTTCATGTCATTCGACGCAAATCGGAGGATTGAGCAACGCTCGCCTGGAAATAACCTTTAATTGAGCAGCACCCACTAAGGACAACTGCAAGGACAATCAGTTCACATGAATCACAATTTCGGTCAATTGTGTAATATCCGGCGGCGCATACATAAACCCGCCAGTGGTCATTCCGTACTCATTACGGTTTTACGTTACTCACACTACGCCAAGGTCAGGGTGGTTTACCCAAATACCCACAATCATACCTTACCTACTCAGAGCCTGAGGGCACAGCGTGGTCCCAGCATTGGCTGTGAGTTGCCACGAGGTATCCTGAGTTCCCCGGTATGGGCCGCGGTGCACAAATTTCTCCCGTGCGAACTCTGTCCGGCGTGAAAACGACGCGGGTCAAGGCGGCAGGCAGACGCCGGCCGGAGGCTCTGTGCGACACTGGACGTCGAGCAGGGAGCTTCTCAGGAACCAACCGGCCGCAAACGGTGCAAGAAGCGCCACGGGGCGAGGTGTTGTGCTGAGATACACCGTCCCGAAGTTAACGTCAGATTGTCGCAGTCATCCCGTTGACGGCAGGTCTACAAGTCAGTGATCCACCCGCCTGAGGACGAAGACGCTCCAGGCTGTGCCAAGACGCTCTGTGCTGTGCTAAGGAGGTGCTGTGAGCAGGACGTGACGTGCGGAAGAAGTGACGTGTCATCAGCGGACGTTTCTGCCCTCCCTATAGGACGGCGTGACGGCGGGACAGGGGACCAGTCACGCGAACGTGTTCCTCTGACACCTGAATGAACCGCAGTGCCGGCGGTGGCCGGGAAACCTCAGAATCTGTGGCTGTAGCGATGTGGCGCCGGTGGCTACTGCGTGTGCTGATCTGCGGGATCCTAAACTTGGTGCAGACGCGAGAAGGTTCAGCTCGGCTTCAGGTAAGATGTTGAGGTGACCATATTACATATGTCTAGGTGGCAAATAATTTAGGTGCCAAAGTTTTGAATAGTGATTGCGAATGATGCAAGTGGAATTTGTCGACTCTTCTGATTATGTCTGGTCAATAAAACCACTTCACCAGGGGTTTCTAATGGTTTAAAACATACTATTTCTAAGGTGCTTGGTTTCGTTGACCATTTGAAAACTTTGGCATATTTTCTTTCTTTTTTTCTTTTTGACTTCCCTGAAGATTATTTTTATGTTGTTCTTGTTGGCGATCTTTTGTACAATGTCCAAGTTTGTAAGGTTTATTTGTCGCTCGCAGACTGTGGATTGATTTCATGGCTAACGACCTTAGAGATACTCCCCCCCCCCCCCCCCCAGTGGCGGATCCAGGATTTTCACTGGGGAGGGGCTGCAGGTCATAATTGGGCGCCACGCCCCGGATGGGCGCCATAGTCGCATCGTATTGGCGCTGAAATATTGGCGCCCAGTGGCCCTGACAAGAGGCGCCCAGGATCAGTATGTACAGTGACACCACACGATTGGAAATATCGGTGCGGAGCGTACTGAAACGACGTTATTCGACTGATTTTTGCATCCTAGTCCTAGTATGCGGCACTCCGATGAGTTGCGAATTGAAAATTGGCGCCACTGCGCCTTCGGCGCAGTGGCGCCAGTTTTCCTTGGGTGGGGGCTGCCAGCCCCCGCAGCCCCCCCCCCCCTGGATCCGCCACTGCAGTCCCCCCCCCCCGATATTGTCAGATGATTAAAAAAGCTTGAATCCATTCCAAAGCGAAAATCAAAAACATGTTGTAAAAGTACCTACTTAGATAAAAAATCAGCTTCGCTGTTACGGGTTGAAACAGTGCAATGCTAGGTCAGCGCAACACTGAACGATTCAATAAAGCGACTTCAACGCGCAGCTTGCTCCCCTCCCCAGCCTGACGTTAACCCTACCCGTGACCCTAAATGTAATCTTGGAGGTACTAATCTGGAAGGAGGGTATCGTGATGAGCTTCTGTTTGTCCCCTCGCCTGTCCCGTAGCGGCTATTGGTTCTAGAGTTATTGGATGGAGGCGCTTAGCGCTACTACTCCTCACTAGATTTACCCCAACACCTCCCAGTTTACTTGACAAAATATATATCGCAGGCATCAGGTGAAATCCGGCATTTCCTGAAATGTCCAGGCTTTACGTGGAATGCCTAGGCTTTTCATGAAATGCCGGATTTCATCCCATGTTTGGGTTGCATCGTTTGGCGCTGACTCAGCACCAAACCTAAACAACAACACCTAACCCGACCTAACCTAATGTAACCTAACCTTATCTAACCAATTTACTTTTCACATAACATGTAAGGTTATGTCTAATGATTTGCTATGCTAGGTAGGTGCAAGCAGGTTCAAGGTTAGGCATCTCATAAAATGCCGGATTTCAGCCGATGCCAACGACATATATAATTTGAGAAAAACTGCAAACATGAGCAAGAAATGCGTGCGAATCTTATGGAACTCTACCCAGCAGCCCTATATCCCTTTTCAGGTGGACGGTCGACTACCGAACTACGCCTTCTCATGGGGCTCAATAGATGGCGCTGGGAACGGCTACGGCCAGAGCGAACACAGGGAAGGAGACGTCATCCGCGGGTCGTACCGGGTAACCCTGCCCAACGGTAAAACGCAGGTTAGTTATGGTAAAACGCAGGTTAGTGATGGCAAAATGTAAGCCAGTCTCTGGATGACCGGGAAGTTGGTCAACTGTCGATGTGACGTAGCCTGAGTGCGTCGACAATCATCGTTCGAGACTGGACTGAAATAGGATATTGGCATTCAAATAAGGTAAAGCACGTCAATGAGCAGTGGGAATAAGCATAGGGAATTGTGTCAGCAAACTGCAACAAAATCAAAATCATCACTGTAAATGGAGATATGAAGCCCCACGGATGATTGAAATACGATGAAAGTGTAAAAAAATGTAAGAGCATTTTTACATTAAGAGCAAATGTAAGAGCAAAAATGTATGTAAAAGCATCGCATAAAACAGCTTCTCGTGTTCCACGATTTGCCTTTGCCTCAGTTGGCAATAAGTTAAGCAGTCCCGCGCTCTGTTTCAGGTGGTGGAATACTCGGTGAACGACCAGTCCGGGTACGTGGCCGACGTGAGATATGTGGACGGAGCGGTGGACGCCACCGGGACACGTGGGGGTGGACCTGACGTCAGGCAGCCCAAGCATGAAGATCGAAGAGTTGCCAGACCTGATGCCTCTGGCGAGACCAGCAGACCGGATGCCTCAGGATATCCTCTGACAAGACCAGCATATGCTCCCGCCTCCCCAGGCAACTCAGCAAGGTATCAAAACTTCCCAAAACAAGCACAGCCCTTCCCGCCGAGAAGACCGCCTGAGAACCAGCGGTTTTCGCCGCAGGCACAAGCAGAGCCCCATCTCAGATATAGGTCGTCTTATCGACCTGCAGGATTCCAGCATCCAGCACCAATGGAGGCACCCTATTTTGTGCCAAAATTTCCTCTACAGAAATCCCACTTCAATCTCTATTCACCGAAAGAAGAACCACACCGAACGACTCAACCAGCGAGCACTTTTCTTACCATAACTGAAAAACCGCTGAGACAGTATCCGTCAGTATCACCCATAACATCTCCCTTCTCGCAACGGCCCCAACAATTCCACCTTGAAGAGGATCGGCCGTCCCCTCCGCCTCAGCAGTATCGGTACGGTGAGCGTTTTAGGTCAAATCCTAGCGAGGGCACAGGACACAGGCTCGTTGAGGTCGGTATCAATAGCCGAGGCCCTTACATCAACATCAGAGGCCAGCCGAAACCCGCAGTCGAAGAGCGTTTTCCACAGGTGGAAAAACCACCCCTGGCCACCTCCCGGTTCACTTCGGGGACAAGGGCGGGATTCTTGGAATCGCCTACTCTTGGCGAGCTACATTATCAGTCGGGTCAACGTCCAGTCCCCACAAAGTCCTTCGACGAGGGTGAGTTGGCACCATCACCGGGATACCGACCAGCGCTCACCGTCCCGCAAAAAGGTATAAAACCAACAAGACCAAGTACCCCAGAGTACTACCACCAACCACAACAGCACGATCCTTACGATACGGCGCATCAGCCTGATCTCTATCTGCCACCACTCGCCTTAACTTCCGCTGCTCCGTTCGAGCCTACTTCAGTCACCCTTTCCAGCCGGGAAAAGCATGGTGGGAACCCAGAATACCACGACAAAATAGCGGTTTCCGAAGTGGAGCCAACTTCGGGAGTTTACCCGTTGGCACCCGAATGGGGTAGAAGGATGTCCCATTCCAAACAGGATGAACACACTGAGGATGTGAACAGCCACATGGACTACCACCAGAGCGAGGAAAGCTCAGTGACCGCGCAAGCAAGCGGCTATGATGACCCGAAGTTGAATGACTCTGGGAAAATGTCACCGAAGGATGCTAATAAAACAGTGCTCATTTTCCCGGCTCAGCCACCAAAATTGGATACAACCAGAAAAAGACCTGCCGGATTCTATCCAACGCTTCCTCCAGTTACAAAGACACCCAGAATCTTCCGAACGGGGGTCAGGCATCGATTGCCAAAAGATGGTCGACGCTCCCCTGGATACAGCAGCGCAAGCATTGATGAATCGGACAACGACTGGGGTCAGGATGAGCAATCCCGATGGGAGCCAGATAAGATGGTCAAGAAGAACATCTCGCCCTTCGGTACTGCCTTCAGTGGAGGCCAAGAACGTCCCGGGCTCGGCCACGCCACATCGAAGCCGTCGTTCCGTTACTTGCCTACCCTGCCGTCTGCCATATTTCGTGGGACACCGAGTGAGGTGCATGGACAGTATGGGGACAAAAGAGCCATAGATCGTCAATCACCTGAGGAGGTCTTCAACAACGTCGAGGTACCGAAGGAACAGCCAAGCACAGAGTATAGAAATCCTACTCGCGACGTCGTGAGTGAAAATGACAAACAGGAGAGCGGATCGAGAGCAGATGAAGAGTCCAATGCTGCGTCGATTGATCCCAGCAGAACCACAGCTCCAGAAGGTGAGGACCACAGTCACGATACGTCAAGTACGACATTGGTCACGCCGGCTTACGTTACCGCTGCCTCAACATTATCGGAGATATTGGCCAGGAGGCGGTTTGGGGTAACTACTCCAAGACCGGCAATCTTCGCGACCAAACTACACGATGAAGAGAAGGACGCGTCAGATGCCCCAAAAGGCGTCACCGTAGATAGGAGCGCAAAACACCCTAGCTCAGTGAACAGGCACTTTCAGTTTGTTAGGATTTCAAAACAAAACGGCACATCAACAGGCGAGCCGGAACAAATGCGAAACACAAGGAGAGATCAGGAAAATGTAATTCGTGATTCAGAGGGTGTAAACAAACAAGCGATTAAAGATGGACCATTCAAATCTGAATTTTCTGAAGCCAACAGCTCCAGACAAAACACCTTTATTGCACTACCTAAGCATGAGACCACACGACACCAAAGTGTCAGGAAAGGGAAAAGAAAGGGAAAGGAATTAGCATTTGGCGCACTGGGCAATTCCATGGGAAACATCCTAAACGAAACAATAGACACGACCTTGAATCAGACTGTGGCAACAGCCAAAAATAATGGTCGAAGCAATTCGCTGTCAATTCAAAATAAGAACAGAACGCTGCATAGCAACAGCAGTACGAGCCATCCACGTCACAACGGCTCACCAAGAATCTTAGTTGACCGACGGATTTCGGCCAGACCTTCCTCTTTCCGGACCCGCAGGCCTAGACCTCGCCTCACCACCACCACCACCACCACCACCACCACCACCACCACCACCACCACCACCACCACCACCACCTCACCACACACTTCGAGCGGACCTAACACCACCGTAACCTTCTCACAGGTCACCCCTTTTCCCAACACCACCCAGCCACGGCCTACCGATGAACCCAAAGAAGATGTCGGTGCCACCACCTATAGGCCAGAGTTCTCAGACTACATGCGTCGATTCAGTTCGACAGCGTCACCCTCTGTCGGAGAGCAAGAGCGTGGGGCGGTGTCTTCTCATGAGGGGCAGGGAGGGGATAATATCGTGAAAACAGGAGCAGAACAGGGCGAGGAGGTGGTGGAGTCAGTACACCATGGAGGAGATGAGGAGAAACCGGTGTCAATGTTTACCAATGCCCCGGAGCCTGGTTGGCCAAGATATGAAGCAACAGGCATGCGACTTATGCCACCACCGTTAAAGAGTGCAGCAAACTTTTCGAGTAGGTATCACTCGACAAAGATCAATTCCACTTCGAGTACTGTTGTACCTGAAACTGGGCACGGAGAGTCAGCCTATAACCCAGCATCTGAAGTTGTGAGAATTTCGACACAATCACCATTCTCTCCCATCGGTAGAGTATCAACGCCATCATCTTTAGTACAGCCCAATATGCTGCTTCATTCTGATGGCAGCACGACTGATAGAAATGACACAGCCTCAAAATCAGACACTCGTCAACCTACAGAAACTGGTGCCTTTTCCGGCCGAACACTGCGCCTTCCAGTGAATCGTCCACGCCTACTCTGGCACCCAGTCTCACGGGGTTCGTCCAGATTCGTTCGCCCTCCGATCCGAACCCGTTATCACCCTCCACACGAACGAAGGCCAGCCACTTTCCGGCCCTGCTGCCCCAGGAGACCGATGGATGTTAGTCAGATCGTGGCTCCACTTTCCAGCCTGTTCGGTAAGAGACTGGGCAGACTGCACGGTGAGGAGTCCACGGGAATAGCACCAGAAGTGGATCGACGTCGACTGGAAATGCTGAGGATTGTCAGAAGACGAGGAAAGGTGATGGCGCAAAGAATGGACCGTCTGGGGCGAAAGGATCGAAGTAAGAAGCAGATGAGCAAAGGGAAAAACCAGAGTCGGGTAATAAAGGCTAAAAACGGAGTCAGGCCTGGTGGCATTGCAGGAAACAAGGCTCGACCAGACAAGTCCCATTCGGCATTAGTCAACGAGCGAAAGGGTTTTGGATACAGAATACAGCCACCTCGCTCCGACGAGAGAAGCCCTTCTTCATCCGCGCTGCAACAACGACAGACACAAGGCAACAAAAGGACGGGCCAGGACAACATCCAGGGTGAGGGTCAGGGTTCAACCCAAAGGGCGCGGCGACTGCGCTGGCCTGGGGCAACAGCGGGTTACATTCAGAGCGTACATTTCTTCCGTTCACTCCTGCCCCTCTTCTTTGGCAGCGATTCCAGCGCTCGTAAGCAGTCAGCAGCGAAGTTAGACCGTTGAGTGTTGTTTGTTTTTGTGAGAGTGTGTTAAGGTGGCCACTGGGTTTGAGGCGTTGATAGTGAAAGAATGTTGAATGATGATGTCAGTTGTAAAGCATTGTAAAGCATTATCATTAGTAGTATTGGGCAGCTATGCATGTCGTACAGGTTGCCGAAGAAATAAAATCACCAGTTGAAAACGCTTGATTTGATGTCGCATATATTGCCGCAATACATTGCAAAAAGAGATACTAGGTGGCAGGTTCTGAGGAAGTAGCCAAACGGCGTTTACAAAAGGGCATGTGCAATGATGGAACGCGGATAAATACTAGAAAACGTACGCTACCCCGTGGCGAACAAGGTGGCCAACGGCTAAGACAAAAATCGTATTTCACACCACCGAGTTGCAAGAGAGTAGCTGTAAGACGGAGAATGAACGACGTTGAACGAATGCGAGGAGTGGCATGTTTAGATTATTGTCACGTTAAAAAAAAATGTTTTGCAGAATCCCTGGCCCTCCTCCTCGCCCCCCTCCCCTCCCCGCCCAGATGAGATATGGCATGAGATGAAACATCAACCGGTATCGGTGCGCAAAAATCAAAAACTATCACACCTTAGTTTGCAGTGCTATGCCGCCTGAGCTTCAAGCGAGCTCAGCCCTCAGGGGACAATCAGATGACCTTCAGTTACCGATGATTTGGAATGATGAAATGCGGTGAACGGAAGCGACGTGTTTTCTCGTCCTGTTTTATCTACCGCGCTTGAACTTTCCTCCGCTACCTCGCGCCTTCTTACTGCCAGAGTTCTTTTTCTCCTCCAGCTGAAATAAAGGATAGCCTCAGCGATATCCAACTCTGTCTAAATCTAAGTCAGATTCGAATGTTCGGGAAGCAATAAACCCATTGGTTTAATTGGAGGCAGTCAGCAAGCATTATTGAGACTGCAACGGAAAAAGATTTATCAGAATATTTCATTTCTGTCAATGTATTGACCAAGATGGTCATGTTCTTCCTTCAGCATTATTTGGTAGGAATACATAATACATACGTTTCGTTCAATGTTTGCAAGAAAAATGAGAACAACTGCTGCATCAAAATCTAGCACCTCTGGCTCCACTTCGCTGAAAACACCCCATCAACAAAAAATAAACGGACTAACTAGACGAAAACTAAGCGCAGTGGACAACCAAAGCTTGTACAGGTTTGTGTCGCATAAGGAGCATGCGACACAGAACTTCCCCATTACCATTTTGATGCCCCATAGCATAGATAGTGGAAACCCGTCAACTCACTAAGAATTAGCGCCCAAATGCCTGACAGTGATAAACTTGGTAGAAAGGCAGGGAAGGAATACAAATACCAAGTCAGCAGGCCGGTAGAGTAAGAGAAATGCCAATGAATGGCAGAGAAATAATTGCCAACTGTGATAATAGATTTTCGCAGAAGTCACCGGCCGGCCAGCCCGAAAAATGAGTCTCACTCGCGACCAAAGAGTCTCACTCACAAACCAAGGAATCTTACAGACCAAGGAGTGTCCCTCACAGTCCGCGTATCTCACTCACCTTCCGTTTGCCGGCGTTGGGGTTGGGCAGCACCTTGAAGAACGAGTCCAGCCGTCCCTGGGTGGTGGTATTGCGCGCCTTGGACAGCTTCTTGGCGCCGTTACGGATCCGCTCCTCATTGAAGCCCTTGTCGCCACACATGAAGGCCACCAGGCCGTCTTCGTCCGGCTCCACCCACTTCAGCTGCGGGTCAGGGCAGGGAAGGTCAGGGCAGGTCAGAGCAGTGCATGACAAGGGCAAGAAGGGAAACGATACGGCGCGGAACTATAGAGCCGTGTGGTGTGGTAGTAGGGTCAGACTCAGAAACAGTGGCAAAAGCTGGTCAAAGTAGGGACAACGGGACATTAATATCAGGAAAAAAATTGGCAAGGCTGGACGAAGGCGGATAAAACAGGACGAGGTGGAGATGAGAGGAAAAAGGGAGGGTAAGGCAAGAAACAGGCAGTTGATCTGCGTTAGAATGGGAGAAAACGAAAAGGCGTATGAGCGGAGCAAAGGGCAGAATAAGGCACAATAGCGATATTGAGCGTTTTATTTACTAACATCACTGATAGTACGCATCTAAAAATAAACGTTCTGAGGCAGTCCAACAATTTTGGACAACTTTAAAGTTGATCTCCATCCCAATTAAAGTTCCTTCGTCAAAATGTTGCCAACACATTCTAACTCACACAAACATTCACGAGAGGTCAACGCCTTGTGCCTAATCTCCAAGGTCAAACAAATGTCCCGGGAGTCCTCCCAATCATCGGTCACGCGCCTGTTTACCAATGAAACATGAGCTACCGCGCAGTATGTCCCCCTTCCAGGACCCCCGAACTCGGCTCCAGTCCATTCCCGACACACCACCGACACAAACAGTTCCCTGCAGCAGCCGCGCTCCTCAGCACTGCAGAGCGAACATCAACTGATCGAGGGCTCAAATTGCACGCTTCACCGGCCCTAGATTACCGAGCCGCCGCCGGCCGGCGACAGCCACCGTCCACGGGAGTAGCTATGTGTCAGTTTGTGTGTCAATTTGTGTGTCTCCGGGACACATAAACAGCGATAGCGGCGCGCTGGAGCCGTCAACAGCCGGCAACGATGACTCCAGTGACGTCAGAGGTGACGTCAGAGAGATATAGATGACGAGCCGCGCTGATGACAGGACTAGGGTTCGATCGAGTAGGCTCGATTAGTGAACGAAGTTCGCTGAGGCGGAAAATGAGCTGGATTTCCTGGGATTATTGCATCATCCCCCAAAACGTGAGCGATCGCTCATACGGCCAAAGATGTTCAGAATCGTTCTCAGAATTTCAAGTCACTTTAGTTCAATTCCAGTTCAGAATCAGCCACATGGACGCGCTGAAATAAATCATGGACGCAATTTACAGATCCACATCTTCAACAAGTCGGGTGAATGAATTTCCAGCCCGTTGGCCAGAGCCTTCTCTATGCATCACCTCGCGCAGTACCCGCTACCCACCTCTATATCGGCGGGATCGGCGACCTCCGGCTCGACGAAGAGCCGTCTCGCCTCGGAGAACTGCCACTCCTCGGGCACCGTGTACTTGTTCTTGTCCAGGTGCTGCAGGATGGTCTCGATGCTGCGGTGCTTCTGGATCAGCTCGATGGCACGCTTGGGGCCGATACCGCGGATAGAGTCGCAGTAGTCGCAGCCCATCAGGATACAGAGGTCGATAAACTGGGCGACAGAGAACAAAGAAGGAGATCAGTGTGACAGGCGCGGTGAACAATCTTTCGAATGTTTAAAAAAAAAAAAACGTGACACACGCAATTTAAGGTTGAAGACAAATTGCACTAGCAGTAGAACCCAAAACATTGCTTCCAATAGAAAAAAATGTTTGAAAAAGCGTAGGTATAATGGAATCGCTTATGCTTCGTGGGTACGAAGCACGATTTAAAACTTGCAATGGCAAACTAAGTTGGTGTGATCGGAGACTTCGATCTGAAACAAAACCACGTCCAGACGAACCCCCTCAAACTGTACGCCTTCTCATCTTTTCAGACATTCTAATTTTTAGCCTCACCAGCCTCTACGAGCTCCCTCTCTTCAACTCTTTGACTCACCTCCTGCTGGCTGAGGCCGGTCTCAGCCAGAACGTTGGACAGGTGGAACTCCTTGATGGGCATCTTCCTAGCCTCGCTGAAGGTCATGTGACGGAGCAGCACGTTCGAGCCAAAGGTGAGAGCGTCCATGTCCTCAGTGGCCGTGCCGTAGACCTTGCCGGCCTTCACCAGGGCGGCACACTGCGCCTCCGCCTCACAGGGCGCCTGACGAGAGAGCGAGCCGTGAGGGGTTAGACTGTGAGAGGGCACGGTGGACACGAAGGGGTTAGATGGAGGGGTCTACAGGGAGAGCATGTTGGAATGGGCTTGGTCATAGCATAGTGTAATGAATAACTGTAATGTTATTTATTACACTATGGTTATAGGATCGTTATGAAAAATTTGGTACCATGCTATTTTCAAAAGGCCCATGGAAAGAGTAAACAGACAGTTCGTACACTTAGAGGCCGCCAGATTAAAGATATCGGTCACTGAAAAGCTAAGTATAATGACCACAATGGTCGAAATACGTGATGATGATGATTTAGGGATTTAGGGCGCCTGGACTGCATGAGGGTCATCATAATAAGTACGGGCGACTATCAAAATGAAGAAAAAACAGCAAATCATCAACTCCTTCTTCCTACTGCATCCAACACCCCCTTTCTCCCCCATCCCCGCCATGAGCACCACCACCACAACCTCTCTTACAAACTCTCCATAAACTCGAGCTTACCTCCACAAACGGGATACCCATCAGTTTGAGCAGCTGTTTGCACTCATCCACGTGTGTTTTGGTCACCTTGACCAGCCGGCGGCTGAACTTGTCAATGTCCTGCTGGTTACCTGTCGGGACCGGGACCAGTGTCAGAAGAGATCGGCGTTACAAGCGCTCACCAATGTTGGTGACGAGGGCGAAATACCATTACCATCTCCGTTGCTTATCAGCAATGGTCAGGCTACGAATTAATTGTGTCAAAAAAGCTACGCTAATGCACCCACATTCAACCTAGTCCAACTAGCCTGTTGAAGTGTGTAACCCAGTTCTGACCCACAAGCATCTTCTCTCGATTTATCAGACCCAAACAATGTGTCTCATTACGTTCATCATCCTGTTTCTAGACCCGTGAGACCCAGCCTGTTCAGTGCTCATCACCGTGTCCGTCCTGTTTCTCACCGCCCAGCCCAGTTTCTCGCCGTCCCCATCCCGCTTGTAACCATCCCCACCCTGTTTTTCACCCTACTCCTCACCGTGCCCCGCTCAGTTTCTCACCCCCTCCCCCTGTTTCTCACCACCCCACCCCAGTTTCTCACCCTGCTCCTCTGCCTGTGAGAGCGCCTTCTGCGCCTCCTCTCTCCTCTCGGCTCGTTTGGCCAGCTCGCCTCCCTTCATCTCGGGCGGCTTGCCGTCGAACACGTAGCAGGGCTTGATGCCGTTGTCCACCATCCGTATCGTCCGGTAGAACATTCCCATCAGGTGACTGTCGGCGGAGGAAGGCAGCAACCAGCGTGAGTTAGATTGGCAGGAACGAGTAGACCCCATACCGAGGTATAGAAATGATAATAAGCGCTTATCAACGAAAAGGAAAGCGGCGGCCTGTGGGGAATGGCTGGGACCGGGCTCATGCAGCACGTTGGGCAGGTGGAACTCATTGCTGAGCATCTTCCTGGCCTCACTGAAGGTCATGTGGCGGAGCAGCACGTTCGAGCCGAATGTCGAGCATGCAATCCACTCATCATCATCGTCACAATTCCACGATCTACATCGCAATGAGTAATATTCTCCCGATCTCATTTGTTTGTATTGAACTTTGTTTGGATGACATCAGCGTCCAAGAATCATGCAATTGTCCCTGTGCTACAAGTACCTCTTTTGTTTTCGTTTTATTATTCACGAAATTTCAAGCTTATTAATTATTATTATGATGATTTGGGGTTTAGGGCGCCCGGACTGCGATGCTCAACGGATGGAGGCTTAGTATATCATCATTCCAACTACGCCTCTAATCCATTGACATGATCACAGAGCATGAGATTGACTATTGACCTTCGTCCCGAACCTACGTCAAGCATCGTACACCAGCAGATAGACAGGAAATGGTCTGAACGATGGACACCGTGCGACAATTGGATAGTGGTAAATGTAATCAATGAAACTTCCGCGATGTCGCCGTACCCGTTTACTACTGCGTAACGGGTTAAAGGGGCACATCCGGTGGAGTGGAGGGGGGGGGACGACAGTTTAGTGCTGACGGGAGGCGAAAGGAGGGGAAAGTGGAGGCGATCCGCGAGTAGCCGCCAGGTGGCAGCTCAATTCGGTAGAGATGGCACTACTGCAAAGTGAGAAACGAATGCGACTGTGTATGTTCTGTGCGCAAGGAGTGGGATGGAAGGAGGGTGCGGGTGCACCAACTGCGACGTCACGAGCGGGGGACAAGGTGGGAAAGATGGATGGCGACGTGTGCATTATCGTCAGCGGGGACAAGGGTGGGCGAGAAAGCTGGAGTCCCAGCTCACTGATAGTGCAGATACTGATGCGGGTGACGAGGAAAAAGGGACATTCTTGATGTTTATCAGGGTCGCACGCAACAACTCGAAACAAGCCGGCGTTCCCGCCACTACAAATATGTACCCCAATCGACGCACGTCGCACATGACAAGCTCATACAATGAGCATGGGACCAATGTAGGCCGCCACGTGCGTAGCATGTCCACTGTCCAGTGGCATATTTCATTCATGAACCTTCCGCTGGCAGCTCTTCCCGACCCCTTTCCATGAGTCCTATGTGACAAGTGCATCATAAAAATTATGCAGAGTGGTGACACCGATTTACAAGATAATCAAGGATGGTTACTTTTACGCGAAATATTTCATGAGGGAATTGCGAGCCCGCCGGTTGGTTTAAGCCTTCGTTCGGTTGAAGTTTGAACAATAAATACACTCAGATCGATAGTTTGCTGAAGACCGAAATCATACGACACTAGAAGGATGAGCATCGTGAGCTTTTACCCTCAGCTGCAATATAACTACCGGACGTCGACCCAAAGGATGCTTAAGCTGAGGAGAGTATCCACAAAATTTGGCTAGCAATGCTGTCAGTACTGCTGTTGAAATTAGCCCGCCATCTGAAGGACTCCTGGCAAAGTCGTGTCTGGAGAAAGGCATAATCGAATACAAGAAAGACATTTAGTATTCTCGCCGTCACTTGTTGTTAACGTACTGTGAGGTGGTGAATCTTTTGTCTTATTGACCAGAATTTGACCTGCCAAGTGAATCGAAGCTCAAATTTTAGGATTGAAAATCAGACCCGTATTGACGAAACATTTCCGACGACGCCCGCACGTCTCACCTCGATGCTTATCATTGTTTGCGGCATTGAACGTCCCCCCCCCCCCCTAGTCAATGGCGTTTGGCTGAAAGCTGAGCAAAGCGCAGGTTACTGAATGTGGCATGTGCAGTATCCAGCGAAACCTTTTTGGGCCATTTGCTGGGATTGGATTTAGGGCATTTTCAGACCATAACACAAGGCAGAATATTCAGGAAAGTGACCATAAAGCTAGCAGGAAGGCAACATGAAACATTGAAACAAGAAGCCCAGTGGTACTTACGCAAAATTAAGTAAAATTCAAATTGAATCGGCGGCGCCTGTAGGTAACTCAATCTAGTCTGACAGAGGAACGACGTCAACGCCTCGCAATTGTTAAAAAATTCATTTTGACGCAATGCAGTGGCTGCCTGTGCCTGGGCATCGTGCGCCCCCAGTTTGGTTTAGTACCCTCCACAGCTCGCGGTCGGCAGGATGTCGTTCGCCGGTGGTCCGCCGGCGCCGTCTCGGTGGCTCGTGCCTGCCCTGCTGCTGGCAGCGTCCGCGGCGGCGCAGAACTCCTCCGCCGTCTTCGTGACGCGTCACGTGCAGCACGCCAGCGTGCCGCTGCTGGCCGTACCGACAGCCAGCGAACTGACCTGCGCTGTGCTCTGCGTGGCCACGGCCGACTGTCTCAAGTGGCAGCGGGACGCGGCGAGCACCCAGTGCCGGCTGCTGCCGCTGCACTCGGCCGACAGCCCGCTAACGGAGGAGGCCGGAGCGGTCCGGCAGCGACCCCACCCTCCCGGCTATGTGGTGATGCCGGACGGCGGCGGCGTCACGTACCGGCCTCACGAGCAGTTCACCCCCGGCGGTCAGGTGCTGATCGAGATGTGCCGCCGGGACGACCCGGAGGCCGTGCCCGCCTTCATCACCACCGACCAGCAGTTCGAGTTCCTCATGAGCCTGCCGCTGCCCTATCCCTACCAGTGGCTCAGCATCAACGACTTCGAGGAGGAACGCGTCTACAAGGACATCTACAACACCATCGTCGTCAACATCAACAACTGGATCAGTCCGAGGATCAGCTATTTTCACAGGGACGGGCTGGATGGAGTTTTGTTGGCAGAGGGCCTTGGTCTAATGAACAGGCTACACACCGATGAATACTCATACCTTTGCGAGTACTGGATGTACCCAGCCAGCAATTCACTTGGGCTGAACTGTGGCAAACGTCGGGCAGCTTGGGCTTAGCTTGGGTTTGCCCACTTTGATCAAAACCAATGTATTTTTACTAGGGCTGAGCTTGGGCATGCCGTAGCTATGCCCACGTGCGGATAGCAGTAGCTCAGCCCGACATCTGCCCACGCATCCAAAACAGGCTTAACTTGGGCGGAGCGCGGGCTGATCAAGCTGGCTGTGTCCTTCGGCTAACTGGAGTAAAGCCGGAGTTTAGCCATACTTGTTCGGCTGTTCGCGCATGCGCAGTTCTGCGCCAATCATGTGCAGCGTTTGTGACAGTCTGCGCGCTGTGCGACGATACGACACACCGGTGTTGGGGCATTTGGTGGTTGATGTTTGGGCGCGTGTGACAGCGCGAAGAAGGGATAGTGCTCACTGCTCTTATCAAGTGGACTGGCATGGAGTTTTACGGTAGGTAATTGTATTGAATGGTGCGCTTGATCGTATGTAAACAAACGTCATTATTTTGACTGAGTTTCACGCCATCAAACATGAAGCTGAATAGCTGTTCAGCCTGGCGACTTATACCCTCGCTCAGAAAAGCCGCATTCCGTGCCTTTATGTATATCTTTGTGAAATACCAGCACTTCTGAACCAGGAAAATGAAATACAAAACACAAATATTTATCTACTTATCACCGAGCACGCTCATTCTCTGTCCGCGTTGAAAAATTCGAATGAACATTTTATACGGATCAATGAGAAGTGCTGTTACAGTATTAATGCAACAATAAGTTATTTTTCAAGCAAACATGCAATGTAAATTAAACCAATTGATCTCTTTTTCAGGTAAGTACCATTAGAGCAAATTGTTCCAAAAAATGGAATAGTTATACAAACCAGGACCGGGTGGACGCCGCTGTCGCCCTCGCCAAGTGGTTTAGCGGAAACTGCCTGCTTATAATTAAGTAGGTATACCTAGTTACATATACGGAAACTGCGCCAAAAGCTGGCCGACCACCTACTGTAGATGTGTGTGTGTGGAGGAGCCAGACGCCTCCAAAGCTTCCATTCACCAGAGTGAAGTTCTTTATAAACGATTGTTTGCTAATTGCTTTATGTCTTATGAGCGATTACTTGCTGTCCTTACTTAATGCTTTCGGTTAAGTGTTCAACCAAGTATTATGAACGCCGAACGGGGAGGAAGGCTAGCGGGTCTTGTGATTGATTTATAGTTTTGATGGCGCTTTTTCATGGCTCATGCCATATTATTGCTGCAGTTTGCAGTCCACTGTTTCATGTATTTGTGTTTCATTTGACGTGTCTGTAGTCGTTTGAAATAAACATTCAAACAAAGTCAACCACTACTTTCCTTTCGCAATGCTCGATGACCGGTTAACAGAGCATATGAGTGACCGTAGCCATTTTAAATATGCATTAAACCCACACAACCTGCTGAAAGTGCATTGGCTGCTCCTTGCTACTTGATCCAGTGTGAAGCAAAAGCAAGATGAAGTCAAGTCGAGACTTGAGAAAACAGGAGCCGTCACTCGAGCCGAACCCGAGCAAAGCCACAGCAGTTTGCAGTGTATAAACCCCATTCACTTCTATGGCTTAAGTCGGGATAGACAGGGCACACAGAGTGGGCTTGCCGGATTTCAGCCCGCTCGGGCCCAGAGTAATTTCCATTATATAAATGGATTCACTGCTCGGGCTTAAATCGGGCTAACGCCAATCGTCGCTCAACTAGGGCTAAACTACGGCTGCCCGGAGCTGGCAGAGCGGGCATACCTCCGGCAGAGCATGGGCTTTAGTCGGCGTTTCTGTGTCATACGCCGACTTTAGCCCAAGCCCTAGCCGACTTTAGCCCGACTAAAAATATCGGGCAATCCGCACTTGAGCCTGCTCGGGCCCGGAGCAAAATTGCTGGCTGGGTAGGCATGTGGCAAATTACTGGTCACACTGGCGAATCCATGGGTAGAAATCTCCAACAGCATTGTCAATTTTTATTTCAAATCACCGTTACCCGTGCGTCAGAAATGAATTTCCGCCCAGGCTACACTACGCGATCGTTCCGTGCGATTTTGCGATATTGCGATATCGCATCGCAAAAAAAGTTCAAAATTCTGAACTTTTTAGCGATATTGCGTGAACGATATTGCATGAGCGACATTGCGTGATATTTCTTGCGTAATATCGCTCACGCAACATCGCAAAAAAAGTTCAAAATTCTTATTTTTGCGATGCAATATTGCAATATCACAAAATCGCACGGAAAAAAATCGCGTAGTGGAGCCTGGGCTTTACTTATAGAAGTCTGTTTCTAATTGAATAGCAACGCAAAAGAAAGCTTCTATGCAGCTGTATCCCAACGCAGTGTCCGATATCGTTTTTTTCCTGAATCCGCCAATTTCTGGAAATGGTAACTCACAATGATCAAAATAGTTACCGATCTGGCATTAATATCTCACGCATACACCGTGTTTAACTTTCCAAATAGCATAGAACATTTGCATACATACAAACAAATGTTTGCAATTGTTAAATAAAATGACTGAATGATAGCGGTATGGTGTTGAAAACTAGGCATAGTTTTCAATCGTATTCGTATCAATAGTAAAAATTTGTCTTTGTCAGTCTTTTTGACAAAGACAATTTTTTAATGTTGTTTATCAATGTCTTTGAAAAATAAAAATCTTGCAAAAAAAAAACGTTTATACTATGGAAGGTGACTAACAAACCACATATCTCTCGCTTGATTCCTATATCAGTGGTAACTAACACCACAACTTCGTACCAGCAACACACATCCCAGCTAGTCAAAGCACGGTTTGCACGATTGAGATCACATTTCGCATCACGGCCGAGTTTTGAATCTGGTTGTGTGGCCGTGCGTGAAATTCAGGCAGCACCGGTACCAGTGTTGCAATTAACATTTTCAGTCTCGGAGCTTACAATGTGACCAGACAAACGGCCACGTTTTTAGAATAACCAGTCACAAAACGGCATGTTTTGACTGTTAAAATGTGATAACTGTTAACATTTGAGACTTAAAATACTATAAAACGGTTTTTTAACACATAGCCTACAAATTAAGTAAGTTTTAGGTGCCATAAATTTGGGAGAAAGTGTAAATCTGTTGGACCCGCCAGCAATAATAAAACGGCCTTATTTCCAACACTGCCCGGTACAAATGTGCATGAAAATGTGAGTAATCATGCATGTGCATTTAGTTCAATGTGCAATACGCGAGTTGCAAAAGTTTGATATAATACAATACTAATAATACAATGTGCAATAGCTTGAATTGCAATAATGAACAATTCAAACTAGTTATAACATGCAATGTACTCACCTGTTATCCAGAGTTCGGCCTGTCAGCACGAATCAGCAAGTCAACCCATGCTATAAGTGTTGTGGTGTCTGGCGATGTCATGGCTTAGCGGGCAAACGCACCTGTCTTCTACCTAAAATACCAAGTGCCGTATGTACAACAGTAATTTATACAGCATCCTCCGGGTGTTTTTTTTCTGAGTTCGGAGAGTGTGAGCGGCCAATCCTAAAGTGGAGCGAGCTAGTGCAATTTGCACGGACAAGGCGGCTTAAACGGCCGGATTGGCTTTTTCATCGGGGCTTTAGGGCGCGCCGACTGCAAAGTCATTTAGCGCCCACAACGTTAAAACAAGTCGGCTGGGTTCGCTAAGATCGCCGGGATGAGCGCGACTGCTGGAGCACCTTACACAGCCCCTGTTCAGGCGGCCGGTGCGGCGCCGTCCTGGTTAGCACCGACCACACACTTGTGGCCCCCCACAGCCGGCCGGCCCCGCCCAGCACGTCTGCAGCGTCCGACCGGTACAGGTGCAGCCGCCGCCGACAGAATGCCTCGACGGCAGAACCACCATTCATCAACCCGATATGGTGTGGCTCATCGCCCACTCCCCCATATGAGGCCCCGCGAGGCTCTGTCGCTTCCTCCCCAGCCCTCCTTCGCCGGCGCGGAGGCCAGTTTGGCTCCACCCGGTTTGGCTCTTGTCGTCTCTCTAGCTCCTAAAACGTCGGCTATGACAGAGTAGTACTAAGGCCCATAGTTAAAGGCGGTAAATAACGACAGTTGCATCAGCAACAGCCGACAGACGTGACACCGGGGAGCCCCGAGTCATAACCGGCAACTTTGTTGGTCGTGAGAGACGGCTGGGCCTCTCCCTCTTCCAAAAGGAGTGGAGCGTGATAAAGAGCTGGGATGGGGAGGAGGGAGACTTGTTGCAGTTTCAAGGAGCGCCGACGGCTTGGGTTGCTTTACGCCAGAGAAATGTGTTTTTGTGAGGTGACTTTGTTTCCTGGTGTGGTAACGACGTGTAGGTACTACGAGCAAATACACACGAGCAAAATCAAAACTAATTGCAACGTGCAGTTGAAGTGCAGTTGAAAAGACTCAATGCACGGAAAGTCAAGTATAGCCATGGCATCGGACAAGATCTGGTCACCCACCCTTGGACTGGGGAGGATCCGTAGTTTACCTGGTCGTTTCTCCATCTGCTGAGGTCAGGTTGGCTCCCTCCTGCCGGACAGCCACCAGAAACTGGTACATGCACATGCTGGCATCGACGGCCACCTTCCGACCTGTGGGTCAGCGAGGGGGACAGCAGCGTCAGATACTGATGTCGGTAGGGAGACGGGGGACGGTCAGTGGTGTGTGCGGTTCACGTTAGTGCCTACATGAGAGCCTGTCTAAATGAATGAGAAATGAGGTGGTTATTGCCAAGGGAAACTATCTAGCCAAACACACCATCGTGGTGGAAAATCAAAACAATTTTTTTTTTTTAAACGTCAATATTTTGATGCTCTCTAGAAATTCAAAAATCATTTCTATGAACGTCAATAGTTTATCGCTCTGAGGGGGACTATCATCGGTAGGACGATCGTCTATCTCCATATCTTGCCGTCGTCCAGCAGGCATAAAATGTTATAGTAGTAGATCTCGGTTTCACGCTCCATCATACGGTTAGAAACGTCACTCTGATCCGACTTTGATTCCGTAAAATGACGTTGAATTATGTCACAAGGTTACGGCGCACAAGCCGGGTTCACGTGGGGGGGGGGGGGGTCTAAACCGGCGGCGCGGTGGCGCCTCTCGGCCGGCGGCTGCGATCAATAGGTCCGGTCCCCCGCGACCTCTCCAGAGTTCTGCCACAGCCTCCTCCGGCACTCTGCCCGGGGAGAGAGCGCGGAGCCGCCGTCTGCACGCTGTGGGCTGTTTGTGTTCATCGGCCCGCCGCCGAGCCGACGACCTCGCTCGTCAACATGCAAACAGCGACTGCGCCCTCCCCCCCCCTGCCCGGTCGCTGCCCCCCCCCCCCGCCTGACGCGTGAGGGCTGCAGCGCGTGCTCTAAGCGATAAGCGACGAACACGCGGCTCGAAGTGGTCACTGTCTAACGCGCCCTCCACTGTTTTCGATATCGGGTTCGGGCAGCGATGTGTGCAGTCGACACTCATGTTTAGTCGAGCGCAGCACAGACCACAACAGCCAGTGCGGCTCACCTCGAATCGGTTTAGCCCGACTGCTGTGTGACAATCGCTTTGTTTGCAGGCGACGCTCGCTTCGTGAGTTGTTGGGGGTTTGAGCGACCGCTTCAGCTCGTAAAGGCTATCAAACGTCCGGTGTTCGTTTCCGTCGACCTTACGTCAACTCCTGCGGTCGAAATCGGCAGAGCGGATGTAAGCCCACGGGCTACGGGCATTGTGGTGTCACCCCACGAGTCTTGGGGGCGACACCAAGCATGTATAAGGCATCCCCCGGGGGTGTACGGAAGTCATCCCGCGGGTGTAAGGGTGTCACCCCGCGGTTGTAAGGGTGTCCCGCGGGTGAAAGGGTGTCCCGCGGGTGTACCCGTGTCCCGCGGGTGTAGGCCTGTAGGTGTGTCTTAAGGGTATACGGGTGTCACCCCGCGCGTGCAGGGGTGTCGGTGACGGCGCAGTTACCGCTGCGCCAGCATAGCGCAGCCAGCGGCGTCACAACATCCCGGCAAAACAACGCTGGCCTTCAGCCGCTGCAGCATGCAACTGATGGGGAAGGGGAGGGGAGCGGGAGGGCGGGCGAACCTGACATGCACTCGGGGGGGGGGGGGCAGACATAGTGGGGAGAGACAGAGAGAGCAGGATGCCGGAGAGCTGGGAGTGAGAGGAAATGATCGAAGCAGACGGGTGGAGAGGAAGGTAGACATTGGACATGGCACCGAACTGATGGAAATGTGTCTTTATGGCCACACCGAATACAGAGCAGGAAGGCTATACCGGGAAGGAAAGCGTTGTCTTATGTCACGGATGTGAAAAAAAATACTTGCAAGACAGCATGATCATTGATCATCTCCCAAAATATGTATGACGCAATTAATCCGCGTGTTGACCGTGCCTACATTCCCGAAATGCACCGCCGATGATGTTGGCACATTCCTCAAATAGGTACATCCTCAAATGCGCAGCATCGACGTACCAATTTAACTTTGACATTTGGAGTGACGGATTAACCCGGCAGGCGGTGGGCCTACCAGCCACCTTCCGCGCGGTGGGGGGGGGGCACTTTTTTGCCCCCCCCCCCCGTATCTCCGAAACTACTGGACGGATCCGGAAAATTCAAACGGCGTTCGATAGCCCTGTCAAATTTGTCGAAGGAAACCAAATTTCATTGACCTGGGGGTCACCGATGACGTCACAGGTCAGGTCAAAGATAAAATGTTTCACCGTTCACGGGGCTTCTAGGGAAAGCGCTATAACACCGAGTAAAACGCATTTTGTCGAAAATCAGCGATAAGGCATCAGTTGTCTAGTACATATGTTGCTATTAGAGGTCACTGGTCATACCAGGTCAGGTCACAGGTCAGGTCACCAAAGATCACCAAGGGTCACCACATGAGCCCAACTTTACTAAGGTTATGCGATGCATGTTTTATGGTCAGTTTTTCATTTCCAACTCAATGGTGTTGGTTATAAGACCATCAGGTACGGTTTAGGTCACTTTCTGGTGGAGGTCAGGTCAAGGTCAGGTCAAAAAAGGTCAAATTTTAAAGTCGATATTTTTGCATAAAATGGGTATCGATTCGATGCAGCTCGTCACGGGGAGTCTAATGGTGGCCTTAGGTTTGCGCTACAAGGTCAAGAATTGCTAAAAATTGAGTTTGAAAATTTGACGTCATCAATTTTGAACAGTTTTTTCGCTATAACTTGGCCAAAAAAAGAGGTATCGATCTCAAATTTGGTATGTAGGTAGAAGGCGGTAGGGGCTATCACATATATTCCGGTTTTTTTCGAAATTCAAAAAACTTTTTGGTTTTTTTGGCTATTATATTCAAAAAATCTATTTTTTGATTTTTTGGGGTCAAAATCCAAACAATTCGAAAAACCGAAATAGCAGTTTTGTAGCCCTTTAAATTCCACACCTTTTATGTATGAAACATTTTTCTGTATCTCTAAAGCTGTAGGCCTGACAGCTCTTCCCGCGAAACCTTTTTTTGGGTCGAAAATGGCAAAAATGACGTCACTCTGACGTCATTAGCGGCCAACCTATCATAGCCTTTGGAAAAAAATTTTGGTCACCATGTGTGCTAGCTGCTCCCGGGAGGGTACTGAAAGTTTGGTGACGATCGGCGCAGCGGTTCTCGAGATATATCGAAAAAACTAAAGGGGGGGGGCAAAAAAATGCCCCCCCACCGCCTGGAAGGTTAACCGAGCAACCGCATAGCATCAGCATTACAACTGCAAGCAAATGCAACAGGCGACAAGGCATAAGTTATCGATGACGATAAGAAAGCACCTAAAATCTCAATGAAACCCACCAAACCCACGCTCTTGTGGATTCTACATCATCACCAACCTACAAACCTACGAAGGGAAGCATCATTCTACACTTAGCAGCCACCCGGAATCCTACCGTCAGCCGCTAACCACAGTCCACTAAAACTAATTGGTCGCTCTGAAGCCGCCCCCGGAATCAGTCAGTAGTCAAGCGGAGCTGCTGGTGCCATTGGCCATAGTCCCAGCCGTGCCAGCCGTTCGCAGCTGTCCCAGCTGTCCGGTCCCAGCCGTTCCCAGCCGTGCCAGCCGTTCGCAGCCGGCGACTGAACTGATACGGCGCCCTATTTCAGCTCTGATAGTCGACGACAACAAACAGTGCGCCGAGCGCCGCCTGCCGCCAGTCACGGCTCCACCCCATTAACACGACACCCATGAGCTGGCCCCGGGGCGGCGACAGGTGGCTAGGGGGGATTGGGGAGGGGTGAGGGAGGGGTGGGTAGCAGGGCATGGTCTCAGGGTGGAGGGGATTTCTTCCCTGTAAACAAAGGTGGTGTTACAACGGGACAAAGTCACCGTTCCAATATGACCATTGACCAATGCATTTCCATCCCGCGATGCACTATTGAAGTAAGGTATGCCTGATAGCTCCCACAATGTTTCGCGCTTCCTCGTCACGTTTTTTCTCTCTCTTTCTTTCATCCTGATTCTGCTTGCAATCCGGGCGAGAGCAGCAATCAGCCTCTCCCTCCAACCAGAAACTCATTTAATTTGTGATGACTGGAACTGTAAACAGCTGGCCGTCAGGCTTAAAAAAGTGTCTTGAGCGCTACTTGGTAGGATAATTGCGAGGAGAGTGGAAAGCATTGGTTAAAACGTTTTGATATAGGTATATCGGATGATATGTATTCGTATTTGCATTGGAAATCTTATTGAATATCAGGCGTACAATGCCGATTCTCTGCTAATATTAAAGCCTTTTATCTACTTTCAAGCACTCGTCAACCTTGGGATTTCCACAGCACAACCGTATATTTTTAGAAATCACATCAGTCTGTTTGCTGAAACATTATCTAACGATTTACAAATTTGTACTGTCACAGACCCACCACTGTGAGTGAGAGTCCCAAACATCCGGGCCAAACACTCTCTGACACCAGGGACGCCGCCAACTCCATCTCCGGTCGCAGACGGTCGGGGCCCGTCACCAAACACTGAAAAAAGTTTTTACCATCAATTTACTAAGTTACTAGCTTTGGCAAATTTTACCATCAGCCTACCATCATATTACTACCAGCCTACTATGGTGCTGAATACTATCCTGCCTTGACATGTTGATATTACCATGGTTACGTTTATCAGGGGTGGTTTTGTACCCCAGTTTACAAGGTGGTAACCACCTGAGGCTAGTAGATACCCTCGTAAGCTAATATTCCCTACCATAGTAAAATCAACCTTTCCACGGGCGGATCCAGCAGGTGAATTCGGCGATCAAGTCTCCTCCTTTCCATAGAGGTGTTTGCCAATTTTTGATATGTTGGAAGGAGCGTCATCCAAGGACTAGCTGAGACCCTGAGCAATTAATAGTTTTATGGACGAAAGGCCAGAAATTTCTTGCAACAGTTCCCTGGGTGTGCTTCTGCTGCTATGGTAAGGTATACCATGGCAACACCATGACAAACACTACACCCTTACTAACAATCCACGTGCGTCTGACTCTGCTGCAGCGGCGCCGCCATGTCAGTTCCGGCCGCGCGCCGGCGTTGTGAAGGTGCTCCGTGGTTTTAAATATTTGAACGGTGATTGTGTGGGTGGTTAGCGTAGCTGACGGTGG